GTGACCTGAAGGGGTCACATGACCTTAGGGGGGTCACGTGACCTCAGGAGGCCATGTGACCTCGGGGGGTCACGTGACCTCGGGGTGTCACGTGACTTAGGGTGTCACGTGACCCACCCAGGTCACGTGACCCTTTAGGTCACGTGACCCCCGAGGTCACGTGACCCCCAGAAGTCACGTGACCCCCAGAAGTCACGTGACCCCCTTGAGGTCACGTGACCCCCTGGTCACGTGACTTCTGGGGGTCACGTGAGCTCGGGGGGGGGGTCACGTGACCTAGGGGTGTCACGTGACCTGGGTGGGTCACGTGACCCCTTATGTCAGGCGACCCCCGGAGCTCACGTGACCCCAGAAGTCACGTGACTTCAGGGGGTCACGTGACCTCAGAGGGTCACGTGACTTCGGGGGGTCACGTGACCTCGGTGGGTCACGTGACCTCGGGGGGTCACGTGACCTCCGAGGGTCACGTGACCTCGGGGGGGTCACGTGACCTCGCGGTTACGCCGACGGCGACGCCGACGCCGCTCAAGCCGGAAACGGGCCCCTAAGAGCTGCGCTCTAAAAAAAAATAGAACAATATTGACTGCGCGAGACGCGATTTAGTCGGTAGTCGCCCCTTTTCCACTTGTTTTCTCTCGGAATTTTGGGCGCGTGGACGAGAGCTGGATCGGCTTGGCCATCACGTTAAGGTGAAGAGAGTGTACGACCATATCGTTGAAGTGAAAAGAGTGTATGAGCATTCCGTGACGTCACGGACTTTGCACGCAGAATTTAAAATAAATCTCACGTCTTCAATATTGCTCCAAATTTTTTTTCGTGCGAAATAAATGTCTTGACACGCGTGTCCCAACCAGATTGTTTTAAACCCTTTAACTACATACCGAATAATACGATAACGGTAAGTGATTCATAGGATGTCCCTCTTCGACGGAGCTCTTGATTGGACATCGTGACAAATGTGTCCTTTTTTTTATGAAGCGCCTGTATCAGCTGACGACGGCCTTTCGGATACGAAGACTTCAGTGGGCGTTCTCATCGAGAGTGCGACGCCGGCAGCGATTCAGGCGCACCGGCTTTGCCTTTCCTCTGACCAAATTCACTGTTGCAATGTTATTGACTAAAAAAAAGAAGGAAAAAACAAAGATACGGTGCACAGGAACCGTGTCATTGCTTATGGGGTGCAACGTGGGCCCCATAAGCACTGGCCAATGCAAAACGCTGTTTTGGAGGCCGACGTGCCGCCAGAAAAGAGGAAACTTTTCCTCAATCGCCCCTTTCGATTCGAGAAAGAGGGAGACCTCTTCCTTTCTGAGGGGAGTAGTTCAGAGTCCCGATCCTGTCGGAGGTTCCATCGTGAGGCAACAGTCCTTGTTTCGAAGCCCAGGAAGTAAGGTTGGAGAATGCTCTAAAGCCCCTTGATAAAATTCGTAGAATGCTGTAGTGGGCCGTGGCCAGGGTCACCATGCGAGTGGAATTCTTCCCAACCGATGTCTCCGCGGGTGTCGCTCCTCTTTCTTTAGATCTGCTGAGTTATCAAACCTCGTTACCGGCATAGCACTGAAAGTCTAAGAAATTTATGAAGTACTTGTACTTATTTACACCGTTTAACTATGTGGTGCACTTCACATATTTGGTAGGCCCCGCTGCCATGTAAAGCCTCCGTTCTGTGGTTTGGTGCCTGCGCATGCTAAACAAGTTTTCAAGCTCCTACTGGAGACATGAAAGGCGCCCCCCCATCCGGCCTGCCAGCACACAGACAGACGCACGCACGCACGCACGCACGCACGCACGCACGCACGCACGCACGCACGCACACACGCACACACACACACACACACACACACACACACACACACACACACACACACACACACACAGCGTTGGCTCCTAGGACAAATGAAATCAACTTTGCTGATGGGAAGTTTAGGCAGAGGAGGTAGATAGTCCTTTCTAAGGATAGGGAATTTGGTCACTACAAATACTTATTGCTTTTTGTTTTTTTCACGTGCATCCCACAGCATGCCGTATCTAGGGGTGTGCGAATAATTAAATTTAGACTCGAATCAAATTCGAACCGAATAGTGCCGATTAGTGGTCAAAATGTCGAATCGAATACAAATTCCAAAATTTCAGTTTAAAAACCAACAAGAAATGCACAAAGAAATTGATGTCTATGTGTTGATTTTCCCGCAGAACATGTGGAGCACAGTGGCTAGAACTCATAAATGGGCTATTTAATGACCATGAGGTAAATACAAACACTCCTTCCTCCTCGCAGTGACGTCGCAGGGAGGGGAAAGGTAGCTTCCATTACGTCTAAAAAGTAATTGCCCCCCCCCCCACCCCCCCCCCCCTGCCCCTTCCGTTCCGATATCCTCACCTCCACCGTCCACGAATGAGACCAGTACGACTCCTTCAAATCAGGCGACGTTTTGTGCGTCCCAGTCGTGGCGTCTCTCTTGGCACTGCGAGACGTGAAGGGATAGCGGACGAGACCGGTTCAGTTATCGTTGTCATTGTTTTTGCGATTAATTGTCATGTTGTAGTGCACAGCTTGTGGCAGGTCACGCGCCATGTACTTGAATGCAAAATGTCAGTGTGCGTGATTTACGGGTTTGCGGATTTGCGTGTGAACGAAGCTCGAACGCAACTGTTTCATTCGAGGAAAACACGCGATGAATGACTTTCTATGGAAATGGGTAGTCAATCGATGCTTCCCCAATGGAGCCATGATTTAAACCGCGCAGAGGCCTGCTAGTACTATGTCACAATATAGAAAGCGTTACTGAATAAACCCATACTTCATTCGACTTGTCGAACTATTCGAAAACTCGAATATTAGGATCATGGCAGTCAAATCTAGTTATTCGGATTATCACTAGTACATTCTAATTAAAAACTCGAATATCGGACAGCCCGCAGTGGCTGCACGACTGCACGCCGGTACAAATAAGGATGCGAAAATGTAATGCTGAGCGGAAAAAAAAAACGTACGAGTTTTGAATGTAAAGTTGTAGACTTTGTTTGGCAAGCAGAAAATCCAGCACAAACGTGTTTTTTTTTTTTAAATAATATATTTGTAATACGAGGGAGCTTTAGTAGATCGGTCGGATAACTCCGATAACGATACCCGATAGTCTGTCGACACCTTTGCGCGTGCATACTTTCGTTGTCGGATATCGTAATCGGCGGCATTAAAACAATATTAAAACCATATACTAAAACTTTCTATTAGTAACGTCAGTTATATCGATAGTTATTCGGGCCCCTTCCCGGGGTGGAAGGAAATTGTAAACCTATTTTACCTGGTGATGCCATCAACCGCACTTTGTATCATAGTTTTCGGTTAGGTAAATAAGCGTTTGTAAGCTAACAAGGAGATGAACGGTAAGAAAAGGGCTTGGTATAAAAATTATTTCGCGTATCACCTTGGGGTAAAGAAGTATTGATCAGATGACACGCCGTAATCCTCGGCCCGTATCGTCCGATAGTGCTGCGGGTTTCTTGCCTCACTGTAGACCTTTCTATCCGTATCACCCAGGTGAAAAATGCCGAGTCACTGAGCGGTGGACGCGTGTGCAGCGTTCGATATACCGCACAGCAGAGCAACAGCGCATGCTCTGAAGGCTTTTCACAGTCTAGCAGACAAAGATGGCAGCGCGCAAAAGACGATTTTTGCAAAGATCCATAAAATCGAACTTTTGTGTACCAAAATTTCTGAACAAACTACTCCCTAATATTCTTAACTTAAAAAAAAAAAAAAAAAAGAAAAAAAAATTACGAAGGTTTTGAGAAATTTCAGTTTGTAAAGTGCTCACTATAAGTCAGTTAAAAGTATTCGAGGGAAAGGAGGCCTGAAGAGGAGGATGCAAACGGAATGCTGGAAAGGAGAGAAGGACACCTCCTTCTCTCTCCAGCGTTCCGTCTGCTTCCTCCTCCTCAGCCTTCCTTTCCCTCGAAATCTTTTTTTAACTTAGTTTGCGATTTTTACTCCAATTTCTTGGTATGGATTTTATTTTAGCTTCGTTCTGTACACGGCTGGATTCATTGATTGTAAGACGTTGCCAGTCGGCTGAGGCAGGCCCAGCCTTACACTCGCTTTGTTCATTTGCAATAAAATTCTTATTCTTCTTATAGTTATTATTAACTACCTGTTTAAAAAATGAAATAAATAATTATGTGACTGTTTTTATCTGGTTTTCGCTTTAATCTCAACAAGAAGCACCCGCGAGTGTGCGAATTGCCGTACGTTGCCACTAGATGATAAAAAAGCGATCACCGCTCGGCATTAGCTTGAGTGCCTGCAGCTTTACTTTACGGTTTGTTCAATTATATTGCTCACAAAAAAAAAAAAAAAAAAAAAAAAAAAAAAAGAAAAAGAAGAAAGATTGGGTGTTGAATTTGTTTTACTGACACTGTTATATAAACAACTTACATTTCACAATAATGTATGGAAAAGGGGTAATTTATGCTCTCGGGTTACTAACCCCGCAGACCACTTAAGTTTGCTAATGGTTGGAAATACTTCCCATGGTTTATTTCTTTACAAGAAGGCATAGCGCTTTTTTTTTTTTCCGGCGGGCTATACAACCGATGTAATGCGTAATTTGAAGTAACAGAAAAAGACAGATAAGAACGATAGCAAGGCGGAGCACAGTCTCAAAAAATCACTGTAAACAAAAAAAAAAAAAAAAAAAAAAAAAAAAAAACCTGGACGCAACGATGACGGAGGGAGCATTTGTTCGTTCATTGTTACACTTTCCGCACGCCTCGTTATCTAGATGTTCACGTGGTTAATGCCGAATCCTGACATATCGAAGTTAGCGATCACGTATTGCCTCAGGATTGGGCGCAGATTGTAAAAGCGAGGTTATAAATAACTTTTTTTTCGGCATCGCAGCTTAGTTGGCCGAGCGGCCTTTCAAGTGACGGTTTTGCCGGAGGCGCGAATTCCTGCGCTTTAAGCTTTAATGTGCAGGAACTGACACCCTACAACCGCCATGACGACAGCCGCCTACTCTGTTTTGTTAGCAACCGCCTTTTACTTGGGTGAGTGTTTTCGCCGTTGATTCTGCTTGGCTTTTCTGCCGACCCTTAAGGAAAGTTGGATTACTGGTACTTTTGCCACTTCATCCTTGGTAATATCTCGTCTACTATTGCGTGTTGCAGTGTCGAGCGCCAGCGCAGAATGCCCGCAAGGCTGGTTCGACTGCGAGAACGGACGTTGCATAGCCATGTTCTGGAAGTGCGACGGTCAAAATGACTGCGGAAACCACAACGACGAAAAAAATTGCCGTGAGTTGCTGTCTCGTTTTTGAAGTCGTCACTTACCATGTAGGAGACATGTTATTTAGTTTTTTTTTTTCTCTTGTCGGGGTTGCCTGGTGTCTGGAACGCTCGTCGTGCTAGCAATTTCCAGCCCCTTTTCTGAAATCCCGGCTCTGTTCCCCCTTAAGCTGAGACAAGAAGCCCCGCCTTCAGCGTGAGCTGGCTGGCTTCCGCGGTGCTTTCGTTGCGCGTGCCTGTGCGTTCCTTAGTACTAATTCTATCTTCAAGGTGTATCACGTTATGTCGTATTTCATTCTTTAGTAATTTTTTAAATTAAATATTTTTGTTTATTTTACGGAATCTAATGTTTTCATATGTAGTCTCCCCCCGTGTCTGTTCTGCACGCTTTTGTTTTCTATAGTCCCGGTGCTTAACTAGTTCCTTTGCTCTGACCCAGGAGCTGGAAGCGAACCCGAGGAGTGTCCTGTCGAAAAGTTCAATTGTCACGACCGCAGTTATTGCATCCCAAAGGTCTGGTTGTGCGACGGTGAGGCAGACTGTGGCGACTCTTCTGACGAGGTGGGCTGCACCGTGAACTGCACTGGCTTCAGCTGCAAGAGCAACGAATGCATTCCGCTCAATTGGCGCTGTGACGAGTCCGAAGACTGCTTGGACGGCACCGACGAGTTGGGCTGCGCAAACGCCACAGCGGCTAAGCTTGTCCAGCAATCGCCCAAGTGCGACGTCGACAGCGGCCACTTCCCGTGCCTGGATGGAAAGTGCCTCCTCCCAGAAAAGGTCTGCGATGGTACGAAGGACTGCGGTGATGGGGCGGACGAAGGGAGCTTTTGCAGTGAGTATTTTTTTTTTTTTTGCTGGGTATTCTTTTTTAGAAACGTCGACTAGAACTTTCTTGCCACCGCTTCGGGTGCCTCTCGCTCAAAGCCATTTGTCGGCTGTCTTGATTTTGCGACGTGACTTTTAAAGCCCTAAGATGCCGGCCTTTCCTGGGACTAGTTCTTTAGTACGAATCGCCGAGGGGTAACGGAGGCCCATTACTGGTGAACATCGGTCTGGGTATGCTTAATTTAACCCGAACTCAAAGTGCGGTCAGCACTTGCAACGCATACCGGCGCATACACACGGACTGAAGCAATAAAGTCGCTGCCCATTCTCCTGCTCTTGACTAGATGAGCAAGCGCAGAGGACTGCAAACTCCAGGACTTTTGAGGCTGCGTGAATGTCTCCTCTTCACGTATTCTTAAAGTAAAGGAGACTAAAATTAATGTTGTATTAATATAAGACTTCACGTCCTCAATGTGCAACGCAATGTAGTCGCGACAACCGTTCCTTGTGTGTGCGCCTTCCAACATAGCGGATTTTGACTTGCGGCAGTTGGTGGCATCGGTCCCTGAAGTGCTTTGGCATCTCGTTCGCTGAGCGATTTGGTGAGCGACTCTTCTACTTCAGGGCAGGTTGCTGTACGAAGAGTCTACTTCAGAGCAAAGGCAATGAGCCAGAAACGCGGAAGAGTAAGCAACTTGCGGCTCGACAATGTCTCCGCTTTGCCTGCGCAGAGATAAATTCTATGATAATGTAGTGAGTGCGCAGGCGAGCTGGTGGATGTTAACCATTTTGTTCTTGGCACGAGACTGGGGCAGGAAAAGAGAAAAGTTTTAAAGTAGAAGAAAAATGAACAGTCGATCTATAGAGACGTGTCCTCGACTGTTCATTTTTCTTCTATACTTCGAAACTTTCCTCTTTTCCTGCCTCAGTCTCAGGCTAAGAACAGAATAGATAAATTTTATGTTAATCGGCTATTTGTCGGCACGACACTTAGAGAAATATGATGGGGGGGGGGGGGGGGGGGGGGTTTGGCACAGTCCGATTGGAATCGGCTCGTAGCGTCGGCTGCGCCTGGACTTTAGCTGAAAGGAAGTGCAAAATTTATGAATTTATCGTCGCTTTTTAGACAGTGAGAACACGTTGTGTTTGCGTCGCAAAGAGGTAGCTTTTCCTTTCGTTAACAGTTCTTCGAAATAGTGTAAACGTTTTTGTGCTGGCAAATTCTTCTTCGGTGGAATATATTTGTTATTAGAATTCATTGAAATGTTGCAGTAATGATACCGTGATTGATTTTTCTGACTTAGCCTTTTTGCTTTACCTTTTTTAAAGCAATTACTCGTTCCTCGTTAAATGTTTAACCAGTTAGGTTAAATGTAGATTCCCAGAAACTGTCTGTACTCATTTCCCTAATTTTTATTCACAAGGAAATTCCTGACAGACACGACCGCGGTGTTCTACTATACGATTTTCTTAATTCATTCTGGTTCCAGTCGGCCATTTCGCCAAGCAAAGCTCTTTTGGAATGTTCGGGGACTGCTTCTAATGATCATGTCGTGAACGCTTGCTCCGAATTTCAATCGCGCTACGTAAAGCTTCGGATACATTAGACGGCCCTTCCTTCAAGAAGTTTACGAGGTAGTTTTGCTTACGCAAATCTCTCGTTTCTGACGTCCACTTTTCGTGAGGGCGCCGGACGTATTGCAAGCGTATGAAAGGTCATGGCTATAACGCCCAAAGGTGCAAGCCAACTGGACAAGAATGATCAACCCGGCCGATTTTTTCGGTCGCGCGCCAGTCGCCTAGCTGTGTTAGGAGATTTGGGTTTGTCCTTTGTCCCTCTTGTTCCCCTTCTCCAGGGATTATTTTCGTCATATGAAAGGTCATCCCCTTTTGCGTATCGCTGGTCTATACATATCCTATCTATTTTTTCAAAAATATTGCAAAAAGTGATTTATTCCTGCCCTACTGCTATGCCCGGTTTAACCTTGGCCGTCATTTCTTTTTACAGAGGTCAATGAATGCAGTTCCAAAAAATGCAGCCAAGGTTGTTTCGTGTCTGCCAATGGCAGCTCCTGTTACTGCAACACGGGTTTTCGATTGATGGACGACGGCATTTCTTGCATTGGTGAGGGGCGCTGGCATTCGTGGAATTAAATTGTATTTTTTTTTTATGCCGGAAGTACTAAATGCATTTTTTTGTTTCGTCTACTTTCAGACAACGACGAGTGCACGGAACGCCCTCACGTATGCAGCCAGATGTGTACCAACACTCCTGGATCGTACCACTGCTCTTGTCTCAACGGCTACCTTCTTACCGACTCCACTTTCTGCAAGGCAAAGGATCCTGAGCCCTTAATGATCTTCTCAGACTCCAAACAAGTTCGAGGCCTGTGGCTACGCACCAATCGTTACTTCGAGATTCATTCTGCGAGTGGCCAGGCGGTCGGTGTGGATTTCGACAACAGCGCCCGCCGCGTTTTCTGGACTGACGTTACTTCCAAGAAATCTGCTATACATTCTTGTCTCCTGGATGGCACTGGCTTCAAGGTTTTGATATCTGAAGGTAACGAATCTATTGCGCGAATCCCTCTGTTTTTGTTGCGTACATTCAGATTCTCACTTCGTAACTACCTCAACCTTGCCTTCGCGATGAACTTTCTCCCGCGGCATACTATCCGCCCGATTCACGTGCCCCGCGTCTTCGTTTCGTTTTTAGACTACTCGTTGATGGAAGACGTTGCTTTGGACTGGCTGGCCAACAATCTCTACATCACCGACTCGGCCCTGAAGCGCATCTTGGTGTGCAAGAGTGACGGTTCTGCGTGCGCTACTGTGGTGACTGCGTTCCTTGATTCTCCGAGGGCCATCATCCTCAACCCATCCAAAAGGCGTGTATCCGCTTATTGTCTTATGAACTACTTTCATGTTATCATTGTATTTTTATAGATTCGTATTTCTTCACTTACCCCCTCGGTCATATTTCTGTAGCGTAGGGTTCAGTTTCGAACCACGCGGTAACTAAGCACAGGGTCGACTGTTTGGCTTCACGCCAATATTATTCGTGAGCGAGTGGATATTAATGCCCGCAGAGCGCAGTCTGTTCCTGTTTTCACCTTGTCAAGTGTTGTCGTTTTCACAAGTCGCGTACGTTGTGTGAACCGCCAAATCTATCGCATTTTTAGCGATATCTTAACCTAGGTGTAACAAACCGTCCAGTATGCTCGCCACTAATTTTTCAGAATGCTATTGTAAATTGGGCTTGCGTTACGGCTCCTGCTATACGGCCGTAGAGGTGCCGCCCATCCCCTGATTACGCTGTGCTTTCCTTCACACGCCTTGTTGCAAATCACCTTTTTGTACTTTTTGTTTTAACTTTTTTGCAGACTCATGTACTGGACTGATTGGGGAAAGAGTCCTGCGGTAATGGCGGCTGGAATGGACGGCAGTAACGTGCGAGCCTTAGTTTCTGAAAACCTCGGCTGGCCTAACGGTCTAGCCTACGACCACTCAACGGACCGGCTCTACTGGTGTGACGCCGAACTCGCAAAGATTGAATATATGGACTTGCTAACCATGAAACGCAATGTCGTGATTCAAGACGCGGTCTTCCATCCCTTTTCCCTCACGGTCTTCGAAGACACTTTGTACTGGAGTGACTGGTTAGCCTACTCCCTCGATTCCAGCAACAAATTCGACGGAAAGCATCACCACCGCATACTGCGTGAAGATTCCAAGCACATCATGGGAGTTCACATCTACCACCCTCTCCTGCGGTCTAAAGGTATAGTTGCTCTATTGGCTTCCTTCGCTGTGCTAACAGTAATGTCCATCACTCGTACCCGCAAAGGATCCACTATACTGTGTTAACAAGTGCTATGTTTCCAGACCTTGTCAATCCCTGCTGGGACAACCCCTGCGAAGACATCTGCGTTCTTGCCGCCGATGGTTACGAGTGCCTCTGTCGGCTTGGTTACGAGCCTTCCCCTAAAGACAAACACACATGCACTGGTAAGTCGTTTTTTCATTTCGCTCATTATAAAGGTAACGTTCCCTAACCTCTTTCAGTCACTCGCCTTTCGAGTTACGCTGTCGTTTCCGAAGAAAACGTTCTTTATCGGGTCCGGCATGAATCCATCGGTGGGGAATCGGTCTCCAAAATGCCAGTCAACCGGCTCATCATGGTCGGTGCTATGACATTAGACTGGGCCACCCAAACACTCTTCCTGAGCGACAATCCACGTGAAATGATCCTGGCTGTGGACATGAACACTTACAATGTCAGGTAACATGTATTGTGTTTATTGTGGGACTTGATTTCAATTTGCTAATTTCAATTCCGTCAACTTTCAGTACTATACGGGAGCATCACGTCGGATCTATTTTCGGAATGGACTTCGATGGCCAGAACCGAAACCTCTACTGGGTAGATGCTGACAAGAAAACGATAGAAGTGTGCCGCTCTAACGGCTCTGGCCACATAATCCTTCGCTCCGATCTCCGGCGTCCCGTCGATTTGGCTCTTCACCCAAAGGCCGGGTACAATGTCACCCTTATATGCTCGTTTCGTTATTTATTGGACCTTGCGGCTGCTATTTACTTGTTGCTAATGGGTGTTTTTTTTTTTGTCCTCTAGGGTCATGTATGTGCTTTCAGCTGGAGATACCCCATCCATCGTCCGCTACACTATGGACGGTCTCAGCCCGATCCGCGTTCAGTTGACATCCATGCTTCTTGGCTTGTCGCTCTCCACTGACCTGGTCGCGGAGAGGCTGTTCTGGGGAGACTCCGTTCGTGCCACGATTGAATTCATCGACTTGAAAAATGGATCAAGGTAACCTCTCTAAACGTCTTTAACGGCCATTTTTGAACTTGCAGAAATTCGTTTTAAAGTCTGTGCCGGTCACTTGTTCGCTCATTTCTATCTTTCCATTCTTTACTTAGCACTCCCTTCATCGTGGAGCAAATTCATGGACACATAACCTCGGTTTCTGCAAGCCACGGTCTGGTTCACTGGACGACTCGGGAGGATGGCGCTCTCTACTACGTTGACCTTCACGTGAAGCCAACTTCGGTCCATTCGGTCTCTTTGCCACCTCGCAACGGCACTGTCGCCAGGAAGGTCATCTATGCTGCACAGATTCCAGACTATGGTAAGCTTCTCAGTGTTTACCAGGCCCATCGCTACACTTGCCTCTAAAGCTTTGCTTGTGTGCCGAATGTAATTTTGTAATTTGTATTTTAATTGCCGATTTAACTCTCTTCGACCGTTAGTTGGATCCTCTTCATCCTTTAGGTATATGCTTAGCTACGGTAGGAAGCTGAATCCGTGTTTACGGGTGTGGTAAGGGGTCTCTTGTTGCAGCTAATCTGTAAACGTGCACTTTAGTTGAAGTGATGCTGTGAATTTTGATTGCAGCACCTGGGCCGTGCTCTGTCAAGAACGGAGGTTGCTCCCATGTCTGCCTTCCTGCTCTTACCAGCAGGTCGTGCCTCTGTCCTCCAAGAATGGTTCTCTCCGCCAATAATGTAACTTGTAAAGGTAAACGTGGCTTCGGGCTTCCATACTACGTCTACGTTTTACCACTAATACCTTTAATGGTTCCAGTTATTTTTCTTGTAAAACAATTCACGGGTAATATTCTGAATCTGCGCGGCTAGCTGTATTTCACGCACGATCTTTACATTGACAAGTCTAGTGTACGATGCAGGTTCGAATAAATATTACATATGCAAAATTTACCCTTGTTTTTTATGTAGTCAGTCTCTATGCCTATTTCTGTACATGCCTATGAAATGCATGTTCTCCGATGTAAGCGAAAATCCTTTACGCTGACCCAATCAGTTTTCTGCAGTGCAGCTTCAATGTGTACGTGGTTTGTTGGAGCTTAAGTGAAAGTTCGTTGCTACATTACTGGACGTGGCTCAATGCTGTCGCACGGAAAGCACGCCCGATAGTAATGTGTTATTGTCGCAGATGAGAATGGCACCTGCAGCGCTCACGAGCTTTCCTGTGCTGGCACTTGCATTCCCGCCACATATTGGTGCGATGGTTACCAGGACTGTTCTGACAACTCCGATGAAAATAACTGCGGTACGCAACCTATTCTGACAACGTCACTCGGCATGTTTACAACCTGTCTCTTTACCTCCGCAGGTACAGTCACCTGCCCCGCCAATGGCTTTCGGTGTGGTAACGGCAAGTGCGTGGAAAACGCTTGGCTTTGCGATGGCTACAATGACTGCGGTGATCATTCGGACGAAATCAATTGCAGTAGGTCACGTTCGCTTTTGTTCAAGTAGGCCTCTACAATTTTCTCATTGTTTCAGCACGACGTAATTGTACTTCCGAAGAGTACCAGTGCCGTGCGAACTACTGTATACCCGTCTACTGGCGCTGCGATGGCGAGAAAGACTGTCCAGACAATGATGACGAGGGAAATTGCAGTTTGATCGAATGCCCCAGCGGCTATGATCGATGCCGGGATGGCCAATGCTTTTCTCGTGACTGGAGGTGCGACGGTCAGGCTGACTGCAAGGACTCGTCTGACGAACTCGACTGTGGTAAGGTTTTTCTCTGAATGTCAATTGTATATAGTCTGTTGGATTTAGGTTAATTTTTGAACCTGTTTAATGGTGTCTAGGTGCAACTACCGGATGTCTTCCAGACGATTTCCGTTGTACTAACAAAGAGTGCATCGACCCGAGGTTCCGCTGTGACCGCAGAGTAGACTGCGAAGACGGCAGTGACGAGAACGGATGCGGTAAATGAAACGTCACGTCCCGTGCCCACAGATAGTAATTCTTTCCATCTTACAGACTCGTCCTATACCGCGAATACAACTTCTCAATGTCCCAGAGGCATGGTCAACTGCGGCGACGGTCAGTGTATCTACGAACATGACATTTGCGATGGTTATGTCGACTGCCACCTTGGACAAGACGAGCGGAACTGCAGTGAGTATCGATTTGCGCGGTTCTCTCTTGGCGCCGCCATTTTTATGGGTTTAACATCGCTCTTTGTAAATGACAAAAAAAAAACTACCTCAGATAGGTTAAGTGAACTTAATTCGACATTTGAAGTACCTCATTGGTCAACTCAAGCGAGGGAGTTAAAAATAGAGTAACATTAATCGTAGTACAACGCCCAATAGTGCGGTATGGGGAACATTAAAAAATCCCAGAAAAAGGCGAGAACATATGAATGTTGAGACGTTCTCCTGTCTTTTCCTGGACTTCAAATTCCTCGTTTTTCCGCACCGATATCCGGTTTCCATTATGATTATCACAAACTCGCCTGCACACGCTAGTTTTCGTTAAGGAGACTCCTCCACAATAGGAGAGCTTGCGGGAGCTGCGGGTCCGACGTCATGCTCTCGCAGTGAGTTTCACCCCCTTGGGTCCAACAGCCCAGTGAAAGCGGCGCCGCATTCAAGTCGGAGTTCCTTCATTTGGGGCCTTTTCCGAAAATAGCTACTCCGTGGCCACTGGACTTCATCCAAATTTGCCGCCATTTTCGAAAACAAGGTGTACCCTGGATTACCCCTGCGGACAATGCATACCAGTTCAAATCGATGTTGGAAATGAAGGGGTACGAAGGATAATTAAAATCACTTGTTCTTCGAAAGTACATTATATTTATAGTACAAGCACATTGTACCCCGTGTATTTGCTACTTCACATGAGGTACACCTCTTTGCTTTGTAATTTAAGCGCTTTTTAGATGTTTGTCTGACTCTGTTCGAATCTTGTCCCGTATATCGCAGCTAGTGCCATGTGCTCCTCGAAGGAAGTCTTCTGCATAAACACCAAAAGATGTATTTTGGAGGCCTGGCTTTGTGACGGCGAGGACGACTGTGGTGACAACATGGATGAAACTTTACCGCGCTGTCATCCCACTACTACACCCTCCACCACGACCAGTAATTAATTTCTTAGCCGTCAACCCTTAACTGCAGTGCGTGCTATTCAGGTTTCTAAAACTGCTACCGCTTTGCGTTTTTCAGCCGAAGCTGCCTGCTGGAGCGACGAATTCCGCTGCGGGTCTCACGAATGTGTGCCTTGGTCTCGCGTTTGCGACAGACATCTTGATTGCATGGACGCCTCGGACGAAGGAAGTCACTGCGGTAAGATCCTGGGCTTCAATCTTTACCGAAAGTACGAGCCCCGAGAGCTGTCCTCCGGTCTGCCAAGTCTGTCCTAAGATTCTTCACATTTTCCAGACACCCACTGTGGAAAAGACAATGGCGGCTGTGCTCATATCTGTCGGGAGTCTCCAACTGGACCGAAGTGTTCTTGCCACCCTGGCTACTACCTGACGGGAGATTTCAAGACTTGCGAAGGTGAATGTTCTCTTGACAGTTTGTGCACCCACTATACATGTGCCTATTTCATTTTCAGATTTGGACGAGTGTCAGAAACCTGGTCATTGCAGTCATTTCTGTACGAATACAAAGGGCAGCTTCAAATGCACATGCGCTGAGGGTTACGCAATTGCCGCCGATCGCCAGTATTGCAAGGCGCAGTGTAAGTGCCTTTTGATTATATGTTCCGTCCGGCCTTATTTTCACCTCAATTTTATTTTCTTCTCCAGCCGGTGAGGCCTCTCTCCTCTACATGCTGCCGAACCAGATACGCAGCTTCTCAATGCGAGGTCATGCGCAACATCTCTTGGCTCAGGATGACCTTGCCGACATGCATGGCCTCGATTATCACTTCGACGACAAGGCAATCTACTGGACCGAAATGAAAGAGGTACTTAAAGAGTGTTCATTCGCTGCATTGTTCATGGCTTAAAACAACCTTGCTTTGGTTCCAATTGTATCTCTTAGGGCACTATCAATGTCATGCTCCTGGCAAAGAAGACTCCCCAAACTGTTCTGGAGGACGTTCACCGGCCTTTTCACGTTGCCGTAGATTGGATTGCAGGCAATATATACTTCACGGACGGCTGGGTTCATATTCAGGCTTGCGATTACTCTTTCAAACATTGCACTGACGTTCTGGAAACAACCTATTCTCATGTCAACAGCTTCACCCTTGCTGCAAATCACGGGTGAGAAGTCGTTGCAATACTTTCCTACTAAAACCACTCGTTAAATTGGCTCTGATGCTAAATGTTTTACAGGATTATGTTCTGGTGTGTGTGGAGCGATGTACTCGGCAAAAGTGATGGTATCATTGAACGCTCAAATATGGATGGCAGCGGCAGAGTAATTCTAGTCAGCGATAAGATCCTGTGGCCTTGCTCACTGACCGTTGACCACGTCCACAAGCTTCTGTACTGGTCCGATAGTAACAAGAACGTCATTGAGAGCGCCACATTTGACGGAAAAGACAGGTGAGGACCATGCCTTGCTTTTTGCAGAGTTCAATCCTTACTTTTATGTTGTGCAGGAAAACCATTGTCATGGGTGCCATTAGCAGTCCCTTCAGCATTGCCCTTTACGAGGACTGGTTGTACTGGGCTGATTGGGGATCAGACTCGCTCATGGCCTGCAACCGACACACCGGCAGGGACAAATCTGTCGTCCATCATGGGGACGTCAAAGCCACGGTCCTAAAAATCGTTCATCAAGTCCATCAACCAAGCGGTGGGCTGATTTGCCATCGCTATTACTTGGTGCTCAAAGGATTCCAACTAATATCCTGTTCCTTTTGCCCTAGGTACAAATCGTTGCGCCAGGAATCAGTGCGAACACGTTTGTCTATTGACTCCTCTTTCGTACACGTGCGCCTGTGCCCATGGGTACAAGTTAATGGAAGACTCCCACTCTTGTTTCGATATGGGTACGTAACCGTGCTCGTCCAATTTTGTCAAGTTGGTTGCTCACTCTCCTCTCGTATTAACTACAGAAAATGAGACCGCCTACAGCCTCCAATCCTCGGACGTCCTCAAGCAACCTTGTGACCCAGAGTGCGTGAACGGTGGAATTTGCGTCCACAACAAGAACAAGCTATATTGCCAGTATGTTCTACGTTTTGTGTGCTGTTATTAGAGCGGTTCTGACGTCCCTCCGCTGAAACTAATTGCTCGTTTTTGATTCTAGGTGCCCCAAAGAGTTCGAAGGACTTTCTTGCGAAGATCCAGTTGTACTGGCCCTGCCTGTTGCTGACCAAGCTAGCAATTCAATGTGGCTCGCGTCTGTGCTCATCTTCATCGTGTGCGTCGCTCTGCTGGCGTTCGGCTATCTCTTCTACAGGCGAAACAGGTGATTTCTTTTTCTACACTTCAAATTTCTCGCCCTTCGGCTCTCGTCCTTTGTACCATTCTTACTTTCGGTCGGATTTAGGTCGCATGTCGTTTCAACGGTCGTACAATTTCCATGGTTGAAGGACTTAACGCTACTATTACCTTTTTCATTTTTTGCAATTTTCCCGTCTCATTGCTCGTAACACATTTTCTTTTCATTCCATCTAGGCACAAGCTATCCGCTATTGATTTTACGGTGGGATTCAAGACTCCGACGTTTGCAGCTAAGGATGAAGGTCTTTTAGAAAACGAGCACCCCATCGCAGAAGATTACCACGTCGTGGCTGCAAGCCACCCTGGCTTCAAAAATCCTCTCTTCCTCGACGGGCACAAGGTACTTCCCCTTTTACTTTGTCTACCTCGTGGGTGCCTCCTATACAAATTTGTCTATTTCTACCTTGTACCACTGCAGACTTTGCTGCTTTTTTTGCCCCAGTGATCAACCATTTCACTAGTGGTTCTTGACTCAACTTTGAATGGTCTGTTTCGTAGGGATGAAACTACATGCTCCGTGAATGTATTGCTATCTTTATTTCATTCTAGTCGCATCTTCTGACGGAAAATGGCGAATTCCAGCGATGGTCGTCTAACGAGTCCGTTGTGTCTTCGGTCGGTGTCGATGACAGCCAGGCTACACTCGCAGCGACGGAAGATGAGACGAAACAGAAGAAACAAGTGTTTTTCTTTCGAAAGGTGTAACAATGGTTCTGCCTTAATTTACTGTTGTCGTGTTTCTATATACAGAATTACACGTTTTTAGGGTTGCTGTTAACGGCGCTTTTAGTTAACAATAAACTGCTTATTTTACACCTATTCACTGTGTCTGCCTCTGATTGCGGTTGCTGCTCATGTGGTACCGCAGTAATTTTATTTTCAGTTCTGGATATGGAACTGGTTTTTACTGCATCTTCATTGCTTGCCTCAGTGTTGCTTATTCCGTTAATCCTGCATACAAAACGATGTCGCATTTAGCTAAAACGCCCGTTGTCTGTTAAATAGTCGTCCACGTAGCCCCTGTAGGCGCAGCTACTCAAGTCTTGTTTCTCATGCAGACTACCAGAGCTGCACAGCATAGTAATGGGCCCCAGACGCCCAAAACCCGGCGCTGTGCTGGGACCTCGAAAGAACAATATAGAACATGTATCTCCCATGCGAACATATTCTTTGATCTTTTGGCTATTTCACCTCAAGTTTCATGGCGGCAAGGTTTTTAATTGGAACTATCTGTATCCCTAAACAGTTATTTTGAATTTTTCTAGGAGTTTGTTTTGGCCAGGAACGCAGAGACGCTTCGTTTTATATAAAAATGCGTTGTACATGTTCACCAATCAATTTGCTACATGGAAACTGGGTGTGTGGCGGCATCTGCGTGCGTGCTGGGCCTCTGCATTGGTTGGAACCAAACTCTTGTAGCGGAGACTAACCGAGCTAAATGTTTTGAGGGTAGCGCATTCAGTTTTAAATTGCCAGCACTGCCTATGCTCTTGGCGTAAGCCCGGTTAAATAAAAACTGGCCTGTGCCAATATTTTACTAGAATTCGAGACATGACCACTATATATACTTCGTGGGACTCAATCGAACAGCGTCAAAAGTGCGCAGTCATCGAGTTCGTCTTGCTTCTGTACGTGTTCTATCATTGACACCAACAATAAACGGAAAAAGGCCTTGTGACTTTCGCTTTTGACGCTGTTTGATTTGACCGATTACCTCGTAGCGTCGGCAGCGTCTTGACTTCAACTGAAACAGACTATGTAGTCTGTAATCGCAGCACTCATCGGCGATATGGGCTAATTTATGGCATTGGAGGATTTAATAGGTCGTTCCGATACTTCAGATAGCCCCGATAATGATGCCAGAAAACGATAGGATGAATGGGCAAAGACGGCGGAGTATCGGCTGTAGTCATCGGAACGATCTGCTAAAACTCTTCAATCGTGCCGTTGCTATTTGTAACTTATTTGTAAGGATGCGAAACTACAAGCTTTTGAATGAAGAAAGGTAAAAAACACAGGCGAGCTGGTGAATGGTATCCATAATAAACCTGAGACGAAGGAAAAATAAAAAAAAACGGACAGTACAACGAAGTCTCTAACACAGCTTGAAAATTTATTTAACAACCATCGTCTTATAAACACGTCACCGACCTCCAAAACAGTTCAAAAGACCTCCTCGCCCACTTTACACAGTACCCTCACCCTCAACATAAACCGAACAACGCACACAAAGCAAACACGCCCAAAACACAAAGGGACGCTAACTCGAATGAACGTAATAAGTACATATGTATGCACGTAATAAGTACATATGTTAGTGACTTCCTTACTTTGTGTGACGGTAGTCTTTGTTACTTGATGGCACACATGAGAGAGTAAGTGCGAAAGGCATTAGTGCATGGGCAGTGACGTTTGGTTCCGACCGGCGTCTAACAAAGCGCTATATCTGCAGCGCAGAGTGACGAGCGGTTAATGCGATGAGGTTTTTACGTGACTCGGGTGGGTTTTTTCCTTCACGGACAAGTAGCACCCAACTATTGCGTGCATTTTAAATGTTTCCTCTTTAGTAGTTTTTCATTCTATATGTGGAAGCCATTTTTGTGTTAGTTTGGTTCGCGGTGTCGAAATTATACAAGGTGTTGTCTAGAGAGCTTTATGTTGCCTAGAGAGATTTTTTCATCGCTACGATTTTTACGAGTGAAAACATCCACGTGAAAGTACCCAGCAATAAAAAAAGCTTCCGTAAAATACATTTTACACATACGAATACAAATGAATAGGGATATTAATGTGATAGCCGCAGACTAAACTAATTTTGTTAGTCACGTTTCTGACCTTGAGGGACCATTAATGTAGCAGCAAAAATGATCGGTCAAATTTTTGTCATAAAACTAATAATCAAAATAAGTAATGGAGGAACTTGTGTTCGCGTGACACATTTTCGATTGAAATCAGTGCTTCGATTTTCATCAACTCTTCGGCTGAGATGCGAACAAAATCGTAACAATACTTAGGTAATTCCTATTTGACGTTCGCAGTCGAAATAATTCTAAATCCGTGTTGTCACTGTCGAAATCCGTGACATTAGGGGATTTCGACCATAATAAGTCAAAATCCGCGATATCACTGTCTGAAAACGTGAAAATAGGTCTTAAAACTTTTTGACATCCGACGTCGAAATAGCTCTTGAATTGTTTTGACATCTCCTGTCAAAACAGACATTTTATAAATTTGATGCTCTCCGTCAGAATATTGAACAGACAGAACAGGCACACTCGGAGAAGGCGATCAGTGAATGGTCCTGTTGCAGATGGCGCCAAAATCGGCGAGATTCACGTGTTTTCCGACACTAAAAGGTAAGTCAATAAATTAAAAGATTTATGCCCCGACGAGACGAATAGCCGTAAAGTAGGGGAGGACGTCCTTTAAAAAGAAATAACCAGATTAATCGACACCTTCTAATCGAATAATAAATCGACTACTCGGTTTCATTCATTACCTTGTATAGTAGTTAGATGGGCAACGTACAATTTAGGATTTCTAATCGCTGTGTAGTTGAGAAGAGCCAAAAGGGGACTCCAACACTCACACATTATTACTTTAAGTGCAGAGGCAAAGAGGTTTGTTAATATTCTTCGGAAATATCGAACTCCTTGGATTTTTCACAATAGTCTCTGCTGCTCTAAACGGACAGTCGCACAACGCCTTGAGGTGACTGGGACACGTATGACTTTCTTCACTTGTTTGGGGGTACACATCTTTTCATGTTCCCAAGTCTTTGGTGTAAGTCTTTGGTGCATCCTTTCATGTTTTATTTATTGATTTTCTTTATACACTGTCTTTTTTTTTCTCCTTTTTCTAGACGAACTAGAAGGGCAGGTTTTGTCATTTCGCGGTCATTGATAAGCTGGAAGCAGCTGTCCAGGCGTGGATGTGAGGCATTCCCAGAAAGTGGTTCCGGGTGGCGTGAAGAGGCTTCAACACAGGCGGTGCAAGGGCGGTCGGCTCCGTTCAGGGAGAGTCTGTCGAGAAGGCGGACATATGTACAGACGTCTAAGTGACTGGTCTCTGCAGCAGAAAAATAAATTGCAAATTAATATGGTACACTCTTCGTATAAATATATTATTAGAGTTAAATACTGTTTAAAAAAGCTGCATAAATCGTTTTCGTCACGTATCATGCTAGGGTTTACTACAGAGGTGCCTGAAGTTGGCGGGTTTTGTGTATAGAAATGTACTGAAAAAAGCTGTGTATAGAAATGTACTGAAACCAAGAACTTGAAATTTATACCTCCGGTATCCGACTGCTGACGAGAGACGTCTGATTGGCAAAACAGCCGACAGGTGACACACGCAAGATTGCAGACGGAAACTTTGGCTAGGTGACGCAAACCGCCACCCGATTAAAAGTATTCAGCTGTACCCATTCATCCATCCAGCCATCCATCTAAAGCCTAACCCATCCACTGCCTAGAGAGCCTAAATCAAGGTAACGTTGGCCTAAATTGTAGGGAGGGTCCATCTCAAGCCATGGGCGGACGCCTCCGGTGGAGGCTGATCGCAGGGGCGCATGCGCTGCGTTTTCCGTGGCAAGGATGACACCGGGCGGAAAGGTGGAGACGCTCGCAGACGGCCGACAGATAGCAGACGATTTCGAAAAAGAACCCGAAACGGCCGGCGCTTCCTTGGTGCGACGTACGCCATCTGTCGGCAGCACTTCTCTACGCGTGCACCGTCTGCGAAGCGGCAGCGTAGATTGCCCAGAGTTTTTTTTTTTTTTTTCTTCTCTTGAAAGAGGTTAGTTCAGTACTGTTAACTTCCGCTACGTGCTTGCACCTGTGTAGTAAATTGCATCGCGATACTTTGAAAAACCGATTTTTGCGGGCCGCCTGAAGTGACTTCGAAGCGTTAGTTTACATCAACGTTATTAGATCAGCACAGCTACGGAACTACTCATAGACGCTGCATGCACAAGCAATACCCCCCCCCCCCCCCCCCCCCCCCCCCCCCCCTCACCACGACTGGCGCCTCCCGTCGTTCGACGCGCTGGACGGCTGCATTGGCAACTGCAGTGTATTATATCGGATACTTATCTTTCGAAACGTAGCGTCTAGATGGCGTGCCACCGTATTCTATGAAACACACAGTTCGTAAACGAAAAAATCTAGGCGGCGCTTCGAACGACAGGGGGCTAAAGTATAGAGGTACCTTACGGGAGGCAGACTGAAGTGAGTGAGGGAGGGGGGGGGGGGTACCCCCTTCCGCGGGAGTTCCACAACTGAGGTAATCTAGTAACGTTGGTTTACATGCTGTATTAATATCAGACGACTCTTTTGGGCCAGAAGAAATGTCACCAATAAAACAAACACACACAAAAAAAGAACAAAACGGAGAAAAACAAAACAGAAGTAGTGGATGGATGGATGGATGGATGGATGTATGCGCCTGAGCCCTTTGGATGGGGCGGTAGCTTATGCCACCTAGCCATTTTGTTTTACCATTTAAGCTTAGAATATTTAAATGTGAAATCTATATTCACTCCGCACTGCAAAGAAAGTGGGGCTATAAAACCCCCTTTGCCATCAGTTAATAAGAAAATACCTAGTTTTCCCTCGCTTTCTGCCACCATTCACTTAATCTTTACTTGGTAATCTCTACAGTCTTGGAATCCACTCTCCCTTCACTGTCTCTAAAACCCAATGACTTTATTAAATCCATGTTGTCTTTGGTAGGCATAGAGTGAAGCACTTTACAGTAGATTATCAAGTGCTCAGCCGTCTCGTCCTCCTCTCCACAAGCAGTGCACACTGTATCCATTTCCTGGTACCTCGCTATGTATGTTCTGGTTCGCAGAAAACCCGTCCTCGCCTCAAACAACAATGAGCTTCCCCTAGAATTGTCATAAATGCTTTCTTTAGCAACAACTGTTTTGTTTAATCTGTAGCTTTCCAGAGCCGTCTTTGTCTGCATTCCGTCTAGCCACCGATCTCTTTCTGTGGCCTTAACTTTCTTCTTAACTGAGACCTGCTCTTCCGTAGCTCCTCTATAGCCTAAAAACTTTCATGGATGAAGAAAGAATAAACAATTAAAATAGGGACAACACAACCACATCTTTCACAGTGAAAGATGTGGTTGTGTTGTCCCTGTTTTAATTGTTTATTCTTTCTTCATCCATGACTTAAACCAACACGCTCTTCTACCAAGCATAAAAACTTTCCTCTTAATTTCTTAGCGCGCTGTCTCCACTTTGTGTCTATGCTCCTCATGTATAAATAGCTGAAAACCTTTCGTGCCCATTTGTCCCCATCCATTTGCCTCAACCGATCCTCAAATTCTATCTTGCTCTCCGCTTTCCTGCTCTCAAAAGACGCCCATCCCATGTCTCCTTGTACTCCCTGGTTTGGCGTTTTGCAATGTGCCCCCAAATCCAGCCTACCTACTCCGCGCTGTTTTATTTCTAGTCTTGCATGCACTTCGGATTTCATGCATAGCACTGCGTTTCCGAAAGTCAAGCCAGGGACCATGACCCCTTTCCAAATCTCTCTCACCACCTTATACCTGTTGTGATTCCAAAGTGCCCTATTTTTCATTACAGCTGCATTTCTGTTGCCCTTACCCATTATACACTTTTCATGCTCACTGAGATATTCTGCACAGTCACATATCCATACTCCTAGATACTTGCATTTACTAGCTCTCTCAACTGTAATATTCTGTACTTTCAGCCTCTCAACTTCATCATTGTTAAAAATCATGACTGCTGATTTTTCACTACTGAATTCTAAACCTAATTCCTCTCCTTCCTTACCACAGATGCTCATTAATTCCTGCAACTCTGTCTTGTTGTCAGCCATTAGTACAATATCATCCGCATACATCAATCCCGGTAAGGATTGATGTATGTCCGTTGATGTGCTGTGCCATCTGTCGGCCGTTGTGCCAATCAGGCGCCTTGGGTTAGTAAATGGATGCCGTAGGTATAGATTAATTGTTCTTGATTTTTAAATTTTCATTCATATAAGTCTGTTCAAGGAAAATTTGGTACACAAGGTCTACTAACTGCAGACGCCTCTGTGGTAAATCCTAGCGCGACACGTTGAGAAACCAATTTATGCGGTTTCTTCAAACAGCCAACGATCATTTTGACTCGCGTAATAATTTCTTTTAAAAGCGCAAAAAAATATTTGTGTCTCCAAATCTTTCTTCTTTTTTTTTCTTTTTTACAGTCAGGCCGATGATTCAGCGAATTCCACATTTACACGCTTTGCGGGTACGTGCGTAATAAATTAGATTAATATATATATATATATATATATATATATATATATATATATCAGTGTGTCGAACCGAAAAAAATACGGGTTCGGTTACGGTTCAGGTTCAGGTAAATTTATTTTGGTCCGGTTCAGTTCCGGTTCGATTAATTCGATCCGCGAACCGGTTCGCGAACCGGTTCCGGGCGCTGAACCGGTTCGCGAACCGGTTCGGAAATTATAAATGACAAACTGCAACATCAAAATAAATTACAAATAAAACACCTGAAATCAGCACATACGAAACGGGATACATCGTAGTCAGGGATGGGCAAAATACATGCAAATATGTATCGACATACAAATACAAAATACTTCGTCAAAAATGTATTTAATTACAAATCTAATTACATTTCCAAAAAAGCATTTAAGTACAAGATACAAATACATCCAAATGTATTTGGTCTCCTCCAAATACTTTTCCAAATACATTCCTCAAAATTTGCGTCAGCGACTTCAGGGCACCTGCAACGGGTTTCTGGGTATCTCATTTTAATTTTGCATCGCACACTCGGGAGTTAGGCTCTAGTAACGCAATAGAAATATAATAAAAAAAAAATGTAATCAGCTTGAACGTAATAGGTGAAACAAGTATAGAGCTTCAAGCAGATTTTTTTCTCGATTACATTTCGGTATAGACCAACAAAGAACCGAGACGATCAAGACGCGCAGCACTAGCTAGAGAAATTTTTATTGTTGCAACTCTCACCAGTTACGTAAATCTGGACGACCCGCGCATTTAGAATGTTCCAGGCAAAAATATGGATGGAAATCAGACTGGAAAGCATCACAAGTTGTCACAGGCACTTATTTAACCAATGTGCCTGTGAACGTCGATTTTGTCACTATTCATGCCCTGGACTAGCACCGTAATCACAAAGTCACTAAACGCTTGTGCTTGATTGAGAGACACTGCATTCGGTGCAGAACGTAGTTTTCTTCCTGCTCTGGACGGTGACAATAAATTTGAGATGTATTTTCGCCCACAAAATTGTATTTAATTACAATTGCATTTGAAATACCCACGTTTTAATATTTAAATACACACGTCAAATACATTACCCAATTTTTAATTAAATAAAAATGCAAAATACACAAAGTATTTGAAATACGTATTTCAAATACTTGTATTTGAAATACTGCCCATCCCTGATCGTAGTGTAAGGCTCAGGGACTTCTACCAGGAATGGTTTCTTTATGTGCACTCAAAGGTTACCTCACCGACGTTTACGCATTCGGACTTCATCTAATTGGGTCCGACGCAGTAGCTGTAAAATCCGCGACCTCCAAACCCACTTACAAGTAGAACTCGCTAACTATCCCGCCACCTCTGCGTGTAAGCAATTGAAGGAACAGTGGGGAGAAAATACAGCTTTCTTTATTTGAACTAGCCTTCGGTAACTCAAATTAGACCCTTAAAGAAGTTTTCATTAAACAAGATACGGAATATGAAAAACACTTCACTGAACGCAACGCCAGAAGGACGTAATAGGATAAATATTAAAATAGAAGAGTTCGCTGTCTCACAAATATGTTAGCTTCTAAGTGCCTATACGAAACCGGATACATTATTATGAAACTCCACAGCCTTTTCTTTTCTCATTCCGATGGAAGCAAGCTTCAAGAACTCGCGCGTTCTAGAAACGTGTTATGAAATGAGCACACAGCAGCATTTAGGATTTCGAGATTGTAGGAAAATGAAATCCCGTGACGCCTTCCAATTCTCTTTCTTCCGTGCAAGCCGCGACCAGCGCAATACTGGTTCCTATGTCAAGATTCATGGATGCAGCGTTTGTCAAGATTCATGGATGCAGCGTTTATATTCCTAAGACTGACTGGAGAAGAAAAATATGTAAGCGCGGTGTGCGTCAGTTGACGGCACTTAAAAAACAAATGGCATTGATAGCACATTCATTGTCAACAGCGCGTGGCCAAACCGTTTTGACATGAGCCGGTAACCGTTATTTTTTTCCGGTTCAGTTCCGGTTCGGGTTCATCGCCATAACAATATTACGGTTCGGGTTCGGGTTCAGTTCCGGAAAAAATACCGGTTCGGTTCCGGTTTTCGGTTCGGTTCGGTTCCGGTTCGACGCCCTGATATATATATATATAAGTATTATTAACACAAATTATATCCTAAATTGATGGGTACACGCTCCGCGAGGATTGACTCAAATCAGCATGTGGGAAAAAAAGAAACAAAAATTGTGAAAAAGTTTTAGCACGCATAAAATATCCCTCTGGAAACAGTGGGGATTGGTTGTGGACGAATGATCAAGAGTTCCTAGAAAGAGAGATCTGTTAAAGTCAGAGAAGAAAGCGCCTCAAGGTCACCTTTAACGTGTATGCGCACAACTGAAGCACTACCTGAGCACGTGACGAGAAGGAAACCAAACTTACCATATTCAATGACAGCTTAAGAGCTGGGCGAGAAAAGGAAGGCTGGGGAGGAGGAAGCAGATGAATTACTGGAATGGAGAGGAAAAGACATCCCCCTCGCCCCAGCATTCCGCATGCTTCCTCCGCCCCAGCTTTCCTTTCCCTCACCTTGAGCCCTTTAACTGTCACGGACTATAGACACGTGTCCTTTCATTACCAACGAAACGTAAAACTGGAAAACTAAAAACAAGCACAAAATGATCTTCATCATCATTTCGATTCTCTTCTAGGAATCGTGGCCGAGGCTAATTTTCATCTCTCTTCCGCGTTGCTGAGGGGTGATCCGGTATGTTTTTTTTTATTTTTTTTATTAGTCAATAGGGGTGAAAACCTATTTCCTCAAACTTAAATGCGGAACATTTGGACGAAATGTTGGAGTGCTTAGGCAGCCGGAGGATCATATTATTTTCTCATTGCGGCTAGCCAGCTGGCTCGCCTTCTTTATCGACGTAACTTGTGTCATGTTAAGTGAATGATTGCATGAAAATGCCCTCCTTCCTTTCCACCTAGAGGTTCGGCACTTGGAGACAGTGCTTCTTTTTTCTATTGTTAAAGTTTCCTTGCACAAGAAAATTTTATGTTATTTGTAGCACGTGGTAACCTTCGCCTATATAAATCGGGAAGAGATTCGACGATGGCAATTGATAACGTGAAGGCTCAGGCTTGCTTTAGCTCTGAAATTGAGTTTGCTTCTTTTGAGCCACGATGAAGATTGCTCTGATGTGCAGCTTGGTGCTTAGCGCCATGATGGTTGTGAAAGCCGGAGATTTTTGCGGTGAGTAAGGCATTATATGCATATATAGATGTTAAAAAAACAAATATTTTTCGATGTAGGTACAGAACGCGACTGAGAGGCAACAACAGACCGTAGCGCGTTTCTTTTGTTTTGCGTTGACAAATAAGAAGGGGGAAATACGTTAATTTGTGTCGTGAAAAGGGATTAAACCCACGCGATAAAAGATTTTTTTTTTTTTTTTTTTACTTTACTGTGCGCCAAGGAACCTCGAAAAAAAAAAAATGCCGTTATTGTGTTGGAGCTGCCTGTGACGTCCAGTGTGCGCATCACAAAGTATTAAGAGAAAACAAAATGCCACTGATTGTCTCATAAGCATTTCGAAGCTACAAAAAGTTTAAAGTTTACTAATAAAATATCAACCTGGAACTAGATAGCCTTAAACGTGCTATTTGGAATCAATATTATTGATACAGGGTGCCCGAGAAAAAACGGCGTGTGACCATTGCTCAGGAATTGAACACTCCAGGCAGAATATTCACTTTGTTTTGGTTTCTGCTGTATAATTTTTATATATTTTCTTGTTTTCACGGGGGCGAAATGACGCCCAAGGAGTATTTTATAAGCTTCAAGGCTTTCAACGCTGATAGCACATAAATACGTATTCCGTATGTTAATATTGCAGAGCATGTTGTAGGAAAATATTCACAACTGTAAATAACAAAAAAGTAAATAAAAAATCTTAATTTCTATTCAATAGCCCTGAACGCTGAGAAGAGGATTACTACCCTTCAATGCTTGGGTGAAAAGTTGCCCCCCGAGGTAAGCTGAAAGATTTGTTTCAGGGTTGAGGTACAAAGGGCCAAATGGTACAAGGGAATGACTTTAAACTTTATGACGGTCTTGAAAAAGTAATGTATGCTTTAATCTTAAGCATTTCGGCGGTTTTTAGACGATAGACTTAATGCTAAACTTCTGCTACACAGTCGTATATAAAATTTTAGGCGCGCTTCCATGAAACTTGTGGGAACCATGGGGCTCCCTATTCAAGCAGGCCGTGGGAGTCGTCGTCGCCAATGGCGTCGGCCTCCCGGATACAAGGAACCACGAGGCCGAATTCCCCGAAGGGGCCGGCTCCCTTGCCCATTTTGGGTGAACGCGCCTTCGGCACACCCTTGAGAGTTATAATGGACGCGACTGCTAGTAGCCTCCCCGGGCGCGTCCATTCTCCGAGGCTACATAAGCTGGCCCCGAAGGTGGGCCAGGGGCTCTCGTCGGCGGAGGCCCTGGCTCTACGGAGCTCGGTTTTTCTTTGTGGGCCTCCGACTTCCCGTGAATCTGCCTAATGGTACGTTTACACCTGAGAAGAAATCCGCTGCCGCGGGAGCGCATCCGCTCCTGGCGGCGGCGGCGACGAGCGGGTTGCGTTTCCATCTATTTCCTTCGAGCGGCGGCGGTGGCGCCGGCTGCGGCAGCTGTTCTCGTAACATCCAGTCAAAAATGACGAGAAGGCGCGAGAGTTCCCATCTCGGCTGTCTCTCCCGGGCGTTGCTGCTCCCGGAAGAACGCGTACTCATGACGTAGGCAGCGTCGCGCTGCGCAAGAATGCCACTTTCGGTCAGCGAAACGCCTCGTTCGGCGGCAGAAATAGATCCCGGACCTAAACGGCTCGCCGCCGCGTTTTCCGCCCAGCGTTTCGCTCCAGCGGCAAAAGCTGGGCGGATCCGCTGGCGGATCCGCAAGTGTAAACGTACCATAAAGGTCCGTTCACACTCTTGCGACCGAGTACGACCGAGAGAGACCAGACCGGTTTTTAAGCCTCTTGCGATCTCTTAGGACCAGCTCCGCTGCCGCGCATCCGGTTCTAAGAGGTCGCAAAAGGCTTAAAAACCGGTCTAGTCTCTCTCGGTCGTACTCGGTTGCAAGAGTGTGAACGGACCTTAATGCGGCAGCGCGGGAAACCGACCGGGTGATACTGGCAATTGAGCCAGCGCCCAGACTTTTCATTGTCTAAGAGCGAAGCGTGTTGGCATTTGAGTCAATAAACACGTCATTACCCGAAATCAAGGAACCTTCTGCATTTATAAGTGGTACACCCCCAAAGGGGAAATCCCACAAACTATAAACAGTGATTTGCTCGCTCGTCGAAATACACCTTAAAATGATGTAGTTCCTACGCTGTACGCTTTCTTTTGTACTTTATCCGAACGCATTAAAACGTAATTGATATTTGGGATAATCTATTCAAATAAGTAATGAGCGGTGATGGAGGGATTATGTTATGCTTGTGAACGTTTTGTTTGTAATCTTATAAATGTTGCGTTGATTAATATTTAATGTTATTTGTGTGATCGTTTGATTCTTCCCGAATTATAGCTGAAGGGCAAATTGCTCGCCTTAAACACCGAAGGATCGCCGCTTCCGGACTTCGTCAACCAACACTGTGATAAGGGCACCGACTATGTAAGTGGAGACCGTTAGAAGAAATCATCAGGAGCTATGACGGCATTAAAAAGATAATTCAACTGAAAGTTTAATGTAAACATCGCACTGTGATTAATAAATATATCAACAACCTTTTAGAGGGTTTCATTTTAGATGACCTAACATATTAATTTTATTTTGTTTTATCATAAAAAACATTTTATCCTTGCCTATAAAACATTATGATATAGTGAGGTATGTGCAATGAACGAGCGGTGAGATCGGAACATTGGTATGATTTAAACTTTGGTATTGCCGCGTGTGTGGCGGAGGGGGAAACGCACGCGGCTGCCACGGGAGGAAGGGGGTTCGAACCCGCCCCAACCGGTTCGTTCTTTTGAATATTTTTGTACTCTTTTGAGGCGTTCGAGTTCATACCCGACTCTCATTGTGTGTTCTAGTTCAGAACAATCGTGGACAGCGTGTATTGAAGGAGCGGTAACGGGCTGCTTCAGGACATTCGCCCTTCCGTCCCCGGCACAAGAGGCGTTGTATCTTTCTCATTAAGTTTGTAGACACAAGTTCGCCTCCTTAAATGCCTATTTCAGTCTTACATTCATCTCTTTTTACATTTTAGACAATATAATTCAGTATAAACTTGTGCGCAGAAGAAACTGCGACGAGGCCAGTTCGTGAATTTATAACTAAATCCTGATGCTTATAGATTGCGGTTATGGATAGAAGCTGATGTGTAAAAACGTCAATATCACATTTTTTGTTTTATTTTTCTGTACAGGTGGAAGTATTCAAAAAGGAGCTGAGTGTAAGTTCAGTCCCTTTTATTTTTATTATTTTTGTCAACTTTGGTGCTTAGATTTTCCTTTCGCCCGTCATCCTCACGGATATTCATAGAAAGTGGGGGACGCTGATGTAATTATATTTTGAGATGTAAAGTACATTTTCGATTTTCTATTTTTCCTTGACCTCACTGATCTCGATGTGTGTGGGCGCTTCATAATTACGTAGTATGCAATAGACCAGCCAAGCTGTCTCTTAGGATACCCGTACCTTGAGAAAGAAGTATTTTGTTTTGATAAATTGCTTTATATTAAATACTGATAAGTAAAATAGGCATGCTACCTTTATTTTACGTCACACTAGCGATACTGTATTTTCTACTTCCTGTACTTCTTATCTATCACGCGACTTTGAGCCGTACACTCACATATCGCTCACATGTTATTTGTAAAACCCGTTCGCGTTACAGCCTCATAATTTTTTTTCTTAGCCTTTCATGTTTGAGATAAGCAAGCCAGAAGTTGCTCGCAGTTCTATGTAGGAAAGTGCCGTCTATTAAGCCGAGTGCCCTAGAACGTTTTTGAGCGCCACGTGTTCACCTTTATATGTATTCCAAATAGATTCTCGTAGAATTTAATACAAGGAGTAGGGATTAGAAACAAAACAGTCAAATAAATATCGATCCTAAATCTAACTTGTCTGATAACAACATGAAGAGGCAGCTCTTCACATCGAGGTTAGTGCGTTGCTAAGATGTCCTGCCAATATATGTCCAGGCTGTTACGACTTTTCTGCATTCAGCAATAAGATGGAGTATAGTTGACAGCTCTAGTGAACGTTTGATCTGCTTTTCTTTGTTAACGCAGATTTTTTTGTTTTTGTTTTTCTAGACGGAAGAACTTGCAGCTTTGAAGACTGCTTACGGAGAGTGCGCCTCTGCCTAGATGAAGTGCTCACGACGGCTGACAGTGTTTGATTCCCCGTCCACTCCAGTTTGATATTTTTTTTATTATGATTGGATTTAGAATTTGTTAATAAACGTCTGAAGTGGACACACAAAACGCTTGTGCTTCTTTTTATTAACTGCGACATCTTAAAATCTAGTGGAACACAATAAAATAATTAAAAAAAAGAGCTATTACAGACAGGAGTTGTTTCACTATTCCTTCCTCTGGGTTTGGGAATGTCTGCCATTTTTTTTCTGAGGTATTCTTAAATAAAAAAATTTTTTTGATCACCCATTACTCATTACCTCATCTGCTTCGTGTGCGTCGTGGCCCGCTAAGTTTAGCGGGAAAATTCCTCGGCCCAAGAGTACACGCAAAAATAAACGACAAACGCCATGACGCTGTACTTCTTGCGCTGCTTGATGGGCCATAAAGCTTGGCTGTGCTCTGATTTATAGTGCATCGAAAGCTAGGTGCACTTGTAAGAATGTAAGCACGCGCGATCTAAATGCATTTCAATGTAAGTTTAGCCCTCGGCTTACTTACTTGTCAAGATTAATTTTACTCCTCTCGCCGGAATTTATGAAAATGTGCACTACGAAAAGTATTCGAGCACCGGGACAGTGAATTGGTTCCACCAGGTGTCTCGCAACGCGTCATAACTGCGGCGAACCGTGACCAGTTTCAGAGTCGACGAGGTTTTGGCGTGACTACTTCTCCCGTGGGGTTTCCTCCTTTAGAACGGATAGTTCCCGGCTACTTGTTGCGTGCTTGTTAACTGCTTCCTGTTTACTTGTTGCTCTATCACAAGTGGGGAAAACATTAGTGTTTCGTTGTTTTGGTTATCAACCTGGTAAATGTCTTCAATTAAGACCATTAAGAGTGGTGTTGCGTAGAAAATGTCTTTATTGGTCATCAGTAGAATTTTTATACCCATACCAAGGACATTCCACGTTAAGTTATCCAGGAATATATATTCACCCCCTTTTTTGTTTGGCAATAAACTCAGTGGCGCCGTCTATTTGGTAGCCCTGGCACACTTCCGGTCCGGTATAGTTTCTAAAATTTTGAGCATCATTTGTGTAAGAGTGGCATAAGCGACCACTTTCCGAAAATAGCGCATAGAATAAATCTCGCGAATACTGCGAAACCCGCCGCCTAGTCGGAAACGGGAAGTGTCTGAGGGCTATTGGCACACTGGCTTCGCCACATTTTAACTCACGCGAGACTGAGCGAATACACATTACAGCAACATCAACAACTATAGGTTTATAATGTTGACTTCGAAAGTGTTAACGTGGTGTATCTGGACTCAGTAAAATATTAATCGTAATAGTGACTTTTCTGGCGTCGACTGACCGTTGAAATAAAGGCGGAGCTCAGATTTAAAGCCACAAGCGTAACCAACAAAACAAACATAGTGGCTAACATTTACGTACGGGGACTCACTTCCAGATGCAAGCTCCATTTCAATTTTACAGCAACCTCCGTTAGTGGGAAACTCCCCGGGAAATTGCACGGTCGTCGTTTGCAAAAATTTCCGGTGACGTCATCAGTCACACGAGCGCTCCCAGCCGCCACCGCTGACTTTAGTAGGAGAAAACGGAAAGCTCCGTCCGTCGAGCAGGTTTCGAACCGGCGGCGGCCTTTAGACCGACATCAGTTATTTCCTCTACAATCAACCGCTTAAAAAAAGAAAACAAAAAAAGAGTGGGTGTTTAGGCGGGCTAGGGTGATGATGAATCGTCATGTAACACATGAGACTGTAAAGCAGAAAAATGCAAAAAAACAAACAGAAAACTTTCAGGTTGATGAGTTGCGTTTAAGGCGTTCCCTGAAGTATTTTTTTAATCATTTAAAATCTTTTTTTTTTATCCACAGTTTCAGGCGTTGCATTATAATTAATTGCAAACGAAGCCATGAACGGAACAGAACTGAGTAAAATGAAAAAAATTCTCTTGTTTTCTTTAGCGCGTAGATGCGGTCTGTGTTTTTAATTCCCGTCTTTAGTATAATAGAAGTGAGCGGTGACTGTGGCTTGGGGCGCTTTTGTAGCGCGATGTCCAGATAAACGTACATTGATTAGAAACAGCTGGCGCAATGCTGGCTGTCCTTCGGCTGACGATGTTCTCGCAAAGCAGCTCTTTCAATATTCGCACCCCGGTGGCACTGTCTTGTCACGCGCTTTTAACAGGAGGTTGTTGGCTGTAGTCACGGTGGCTGTAGTCGACACCCCGCTGTGCCGGTGCCTACGCACGACCATCCAAGCAGACCGACTTGCATCCGACTAGACCTCGGAAAGTCCGTAGCGGATCCGAACAGCGCGGATTTCAGTCAAGGCACGCTAAAGAGACTCGTCGTAGACGAAGTACGAACAAGGCACTGGAGCAGAGTCAAAAGCCGAAGCGAAAATGGCATGAAAGTCTTCAGTATCGTGCTCAGGAGGCGGTGCAGAAACGACAACGACGCCACCGTGACGGCGATTTACGTAAGCGCCAAGCTGCTTACACTGTGTTACGCGGAAGCGTAAGTGCACTCGAACTGTTTGGTGCATTTTTAGAGTGCAGCTCGAGGTGCCCGTTTCCGTGCTTGTAGGCGTCGGCGTCGCCTTCGGCGTAACCGCACTAAATTTAGCGGGAAACTTCACGTCACGGGACCTAGCGGGGAATTGAATAGCTGTTGAGGCCACGTGACGTCAATTTTCCCGCTAAATCGATGGGAGAAACTAAATTTGTTCATAGGTGACGTGACACCAAGTCATGTGACGTCATTTTTCCCGCTAAATTTACCGGGGAAACTGCATTGGTCTTGTGGGCATGTGGCGTCAATTTTTACGCTTAATTTAGCGGCGAACTGTGGGAGGATGGGAGGGTACGCAGGAGGAGGGGGGTAGGAAGGAGGAGGAGGAGGAGGGGAGGAGGGGGCAGGAAGAGGAAAGGGAAGGAGGAAAGGAGGAAGGACATACCCTTCCCTCCGTTCCCTCCCCTCCTCGTCCTCAAGAGCTGCACTCTAATTTCGCATTACAGCAATTTGTAAACGACTTTCATATTTTGTCTTCAGCACAACCTCGCCGCCCTCGGTGGTTTTTTGAGAAAAAGGAACACCAAACTACATATTAAAAATCCACCTGCTTTTTTTAGCAAGGGGAGTTCTGTTTACAACCTCGCAGTCGCCCGATCGAAGGAGGCGCTGTGTTGCGACATTATAAAGAATAGTTATCGCGCGCCATAAAGTGGGCGACTGAGGCAGCTCTTTTCACAGATGTCTTTAGCAATTATTTTTCACTGGTCTCAGTCTGTTAATGCAAATGAGCAGACAGCCTCCTTCATTGTTCGATGTCTGACTGGTGAGGACGCGCCCCCCATTCCGCATACCTACATCGTATATCTGGGATTTTTAGAAGAGCGTGCGCAAGAGCCTAGCATTCCCCAAAGAATTAAAACAACCGCATCTTCACGTGGTGAATGATGTCGATTGGGGCGAAACTCTGGTGGTGCTTGTCTGCGTAGACGCTGAGCCGCAGCATGCCGAGCCTTTCGTTCGTTTTCATCCATGTCACGCTGCGGTCAAATGCTCAAATGCCTATATAACCACGTTCCATACCACACATTCTCTTTCTGACATGGATGAAAACGAACGAAAGGCTCGGCAAGCTGTGGCTCACCGTCTACGCAGACAGCACCACCAGAGCTTCGCCCCAATCAACATCATTCGCCACGTGGAGATGCGTTTTTTTTTTTGCCCTTCACAAGCACGGGAGCACGTTCTCACGTGCACGTGAGCACGTGAGCTCACGAGCAGGAGCACCTGCGCCCGACGGCGGACGGACATGTGGACATGGCTAGCCCCTAAGGAGCTTCGCCCCTAATAGCGTCGACGCCACTGCGCGCGCGCCAAATACAAACCGGTTTTTGGGTATTGCGTACGCACGCAAACTCACCCGAAAGTCTTAACGGTACTCTTGCAAGGCCGAGAAGTTGGTTAAAGCCAAGACAGGCCTAGTTCGAAAGTGGCAACGTCAAGGACCGCGGCCACCGTAAGCGCGGTGTCAGCGGCGTCGTGGAAACGTCCATTTGGAATACACTCTTACTTGACGTACACGCCACAAAGGATTTGAAAAACACAGCATGGTGAGCAACGAAAGCCACTAACCTGCTGCTTGCGGAGCGGAAACGCTTCTCGGCTTACGTGAAAATACGACTCTTGCCAAGCTCTCTTTTCTCTTTTGCTCTTGTCGGGGTTGCACCTGCTCTTGGCGTATTATCACATTTAAGCAGATAAAAAAAAAATAGGATCGTATTTTTTTTTCTTAAGTAGCTACATTTCGTGTATGCGATAAAAGTTGTTACCGTACCTCCGTGCCGTTGCAAGCGGGAGAGTTTTTGGGCCTCGGGTTGCGGCGGCGAAAAGTGACTCTAAAACTCTCTTGCGTAACGTGTGCTAACATCAGATACTTTTGGAATAGCGTAAAGACCCGTGTGTCACCACTGCATGCGATGCACGAAAGCTTTCGACATCTTATACGAGTTCTCAACTCTTATAAGCAATACTAAAACCCTATATTAGCGCTAAATGTTGGTCTAACGTGACAAAATGAGGTACATTGTTGAAAACCTAATATTATTCAGGTTTGTGAATGAAAAAAAAGCGCTGCTGATGAAGGCGGCTGATGAACTACTCCTAGATAAAAATACGAGTGAGCAACTTATCACGATTTCTTTTTGCCCCGCAAATAAAGCATGGATCCCGCTGACATAACAAAATGGAATTTATTCTGGCCAGACCTATTTTACTCAGTGACTGTTTTATAATTTAATTTTCCGTGCATCATTACCAAGGGCGTGACGACCGGAAGCATAAAGATACGCATCAGTAGAATTGATTCGAATCAAATGAGGACGGTGAAAGTGGGCGTCACGTGAGGATACCGCACGATTCGTTTTATGCAGAGAGCAAGCTCGTCTGCTGCATGCGCAGGTGCTGCGGCGATGTTAGAACCCGGAGTTCTTATTGGTTAATCGAGAGAAAAATCAAGAAAAAATCAAGCATTGAGGTCTACAAACTATCCTTCAAATCAAAGCCAATCAAAGCTCGGCATCATTCTGATGTCACCGCAATTCCTGTGCAAGAAGCAGACGATTTGCTCTCCGTATAGGGCAAAAGTTTCTGGCGAAGCGAACAGTAAGCAAGCAGTGTGTGTACTTTCCTATAAAACAAAAATCCGAAACCAACAGTTGCTTAATAGAACCTCCGCAGAACTCCATCAAGCAACATTGGCAGTTGTCATTTCTTGGGGACGAATCGTACGATTGCATCAGAGTCCTTGCCCAACGCTGACGCATCCCTCGTGTCCAATACATGCTCAGAGTACGTGCAGTACGTGCCCAAACAATGGCGTACTCGGATAGTTGGTGCAGCAGCTACTAGATGGCGCCAACTTACGAAAATGTTCTATTAACATTTGTTAAACAAAAATACGAAATTCCAATGAGTGATCAGAAAACCGAGGAACTATGCAGGGTATCACAAAGGTCGCGTTTATGTCCTACTCGTGTCTTGTTATATTTATTTATTTATCTGCAGAGTTCCCACTACGCCTTAAGGACATTATTGAAAAGGAAAGGGGGGGGGGGGGGGTGAACAGTAAAAACGCAGCAGGTTAACATCCGCACTCTTAGTTTCACAAACGAGAAAAATATATTATCTAAAATGCTGACCAGTTCAGGTGGCAGCGTGTTCCAATCTATAATTGTTTTTACAAAACAAAACAAAATAAAACAAAGCAAAATAAAATAGTTTGTATTGCAAGAATACTAAAAAACCTTATTTGGATGATAACATCGTGCTGAATCGTAGGTTGGCTCCAAAAGATACCCGCGTTTGTCAATGCCGGTGTTACCAAAATAAATCTGCTGAAAACATTTCAACCTTATTCATTTTAGTTTCTTACTTTTGAATGATTCCCGACTCAGCATGGCTATCATCCCACATAATACTAGCGTATGGATAATAATTATCACAAGAAAACCGTGCCGCTTGATTTTTAAGCTTTTCTATTCGCTCAACAAGGTAATATTGGTAAGGTTTTCATATGACGCGCGCGTACTCCAGTAAGATCTAACATATAAAAGGTAAAGTGTTTGTTTAACGTCTCGTGAAACATTTTTTAAGGTTTCTTCGAATAAAAGATAACATTCGACCAGACTTACTTATTTTGTATTTTATATGTTTATTTTATTTAAGCGACCGGTTAAAGAAGACCCCCCGATATTTAAACTCAGAGATACAGCGAAGGGTATTTTTTTTATAGTAAACCTTAATGAAAATACAAAAAAAAAAAAAACTATTCGAGAAAGCAAGGTGGTTACACATCCTAATATTTGAACTCCTATTTCACTGATTGCACCAGTTAGCTACAATATATATATATATAGGTCACTTTGCAATGCCTCGGAGTCTTCTGGTGACCTCATTTCTTATAAATTACGCAGTCGCCAGCAAATAGTTTCATTTTGGACAGAACGCGTGCTACAAAGTCATTTATATAAATTAAAAGCAGCAACGGGCCAAGAACACTGCCCTGGATGTAAAATTTCCGGAAATTTTGAAGGCCGGAAAAAAACGACGAAAAAAACAAGTTTTTTTCCGGAAATTTTGGAAACATTCGAAAAATATTCTCAACAGCTATAATTCAGTAATGATTCGAAATATATCGACAGAGGTCAACAACCGCAAGATATTTCCGCCAGTTTTACGGTGAACTATTATATTATATCACCTTTTTTAACGTTTACGACAACTTTTGTCAATTTAGCTGAGCTTTGACTACTCATCTGGCAACAACCGATAGCTCCTACGCAGTTCTTCGTTCCCGCCGGTGCCACCGGTGCCGTTCGCGCTCTCGACGCACAGTCGGAGGAGCCATATCACTTTAGCTTTCCCAGCCCCTTAGTGAAAGTTCTGAGCATCTTACTCTGGTGTGGACACTTGCCGTGGACCGTGGAGCTGTCAAAACTGTGTGCTGTGCGCCGTGGAGAGGTCAGCCAGGGCAGCTATAGGCAGCCGGCAATGGCCAGGCGGCGCCACGAGAGCACTGCATTCAGCGCCACAAGCGGAGGCGTCTCTGTTAATGGGGCGGCCAGTTTTCCCGCCGGGCCGTTGCGAGCGGCGGCGACCCCGATTTCAGCAGTCCCCGTGTGTACCTGCGTCCCTGGTTCTTTTATGCGGTTTTTTAATCGGGAGCCTTGCTAGGTCCAAGTGCTGAGAGAACATTCTAGAGTCGTCATTTGGACACCAGTTTGAGTTGTCTTCACTACTTGTTGCCGCCCGGCGCCCGATCGGTCTGTGCTTCGCTCGTTTCCCAGGAAGCGACACAATACAACAAATGGGTTTATTGTACATCCCGGTTGCCCGTCTTCGAGAGCCGGCACTCCGGACCCGCCGACCCTAGTTGTCGCCCGTCGTTCAGAGCTCACAGTCGGGGCCCGTGTTCAGGCCTGCGGATCGCCCTTCCCACGCCAGCGCTGCGTAGGCTAGCTATTCTGGGCTATCACTGCCAGAGTCTCGCTGCGGAACCACTCCGGGATCGCCATGGACTAGGCCAGTATGGTCAGGGTTCGCCGCTTCCGCCGGTCCTGATCCGAACTTCGCTGGTGGAATGCTCCCGGGAATCGCCATGGGCCAGACCAGCCAGAACGGCTCTATCGTTCCTGCCCGGCCCCAGCCTCGCGCAGCACGCTCTTCCTCTTTCCTCGCCGGCTGGCCCCCGCTTGCGCCTCGCTCGGCCGTCCTCTCCTCCCGACGCCCACACACACTAGAATAAAATTTGGGTAATTAGAACCAAACTCTGCATGCTACAGAACCGTACGCACATTGCAAAGCCTGGTGTAGAATGGCGACAGGCAACGAGGTGTACGCGTAAAAAGGATATTTACGCTTCGCATGAGATTTTTCTAAAGAAAAACTTTAGCATCCTGCTTTCTGCATGCCGTCACAACTGTTACCAGACTCAGCATTAAATTTGGTTGCTGAAACAAACAAAATTTTGTGCTACGAAAATCCACTATTTGAAAACTCGCAGGTTTGGAAGGTTTTGGTTGCGACCACGCGTGCCGAACGGCATTAGGAGTGCCGGAACGGACCGACAAGCCTTTCGCTTGAAGACCTGATCGCCCGATTCTCGACGCCACAGCGAAGCAACAATCGCCCCGATTGTTCCTATCGTATTTAATAATGTGGCTGTCAAAGCGACTCGTAATACAATTTGTATAAATATGTTATTTTGCCGAGTAGTCCGCAAAATGAGTTCGTCCGACCACTTTCCAAGCCTACAGATATATTTTCGTTCACTTCCCTCCCAACAGTTTCTGTAAAATTCACTTACTTGTTGCGTCGCACTGCAGTAATCCACTTCTGTCGCCGTGTCGCTTCCCAAGATCTCGAAGCGAAGCTGGGGAAGCGGTGAAGTTTGATCCTTGAGTCACCTTCGAGACTTTGGCCGTCTTCATGCAGCAGTAGCAATGTTTATTTTTTGGAAGAACTCCAGGAGTAGGCGAGATGTCACAGGAACCCGGTGAGGTTATGGAGACGTGAAATTGGGACTTACTTTTACGAAAAGCGGATCCAAAAAAAAACTCATGCCGATCCGAAATGCAACGTTCACACGTGGTTTCTGCATGCGCCTGCCCGCAGCCCCCGCAACCCGCGTAGTCCTGGCCTACCCAGTTTCTTTATTTTGCAGTCGCTAGATGGCGCAACGTGTAGCGCCAAACTGCATTGCAGGTTGCCTATAACGCTTTAGCTTGAACAGCGCCGTTTCCGAAACCTCGCGCGCATCTTTCTCGGGTATGGACTTTCGCCGTGGATCCGTGAAAACTGTGCGCTGTTCGCTATGGTGAGGCCGCGCTCCAACGTTTGGAGGAACTTTGACGTGCTAAACAGTGGTAAGGGGCCAGCGGTGTGCAGGTTTTGCTGTGCCAAATACGAATTTCCCAACGCAACCCGCTTGCGGCAGCACATCGAAAGGTGCTCGAAATGCCCCCCGGACGTCAGGTCTGCAGCATCGGACGACCCGACAAGATCAGAGTCTGGGGCATGTCGGTCCAGGAGCCCATCTGTGGAAGTTTTACGGTCAGAGCGTGCACCTGTGGAAAATGAAAGCACAAGCTCTCAAAATGAGGCCGACAGGTATGTCAAGCAGCGAACTTCTATAGAAGCGTTCGTTGACAGAATGACGCAAGGGTGTCAAAGCAAGCTTGATGAGGCGCTGGCTCGAGCGATATACGGTTACGGAAAACAGATACTGGCGAGAAGCGTTCAAGCTCCTCAGGCCCGCATTCGTGCCGCCTTCCAGGCATTCTTTAGGTGGACGACTCTTGGAGGCCGAGTATGCCCGAGTGATGACGCAGGTGGAAGAGAAAGTCAACGCCGCTCTGTGCGTCACTGTACTCACGGACAGCTGGACCAATGTACGGGGCGAGAGCATCTTGAACTTTGTGTTGGCTACACCGAAGCCTATTTTCTACAGCGCCGTGGAGACGGAAGGTCACAGGCACACAGGAGACTACATCGCGGGAGAGATTGTGAAGGTTGTGGAGAAAATTGGAACCGACAAGGTTTTCGCTCTTGTTACCGACAATGCAAGCAACATGAAGGCCGCGTGGACAATCGTCAGTCTTCGCTACCCTAGCATCACTACTCTTGGATGCTGTGCTCATGGACTAAACTTGTTGCTGTCGGACATGCTCAAACTGGTGACATTGCAAGAAGTTTGCAAGAGGTCCAAGACTCTAATCAAGTATGTCAGAAACTCTCACGTGGTTGCGGCTCACTTTGCTAAGAGGCAAGAAGAGTGCTATGCTGGAAACCAGACCACATTAAAACTACCAGCTGAAACTCGCTGGGCGGGCATTTTGATGTCACTAGAAGGCTTACTGAAGAACAAAGAAGCTTTACAGAAAACTGTGATCGCTGCGGAGCTTCAAGTGAGCAGGGAAATAAGATCAACGATATTAGATGAAGACTACTTTTGGCGAGATGTGCAAAGCACCTTCCACGTGTTGCAGCCAGTTGCCCGTGCTATTTCCGAGGCTGAGTCAGACACTGCTGTCCTCTCAGACGTCCATGAGATCCTGTTCAAAGTAACAAGACAAGTCGAAGAGGCCCTTCCAAACTCTGCCTTGACAACGGGCGAAAAGGAAAGAGTAGCAGAAATCCTGCGTGAGCGACGCAACTTTATTTGCCGTCCAGCACATGCTGCCGCAAATTTGCTCGACCCGAAGTTCAAAGGGCGGTGCTTAAGTGTGATGTAGTCCATGCCACGCAATGGACTACATCACAGAGACAGCAGAAAGGATGTGTCTCGATGTGGGAAAAGTGTTGTCAAATCTCGCCGAATACCGGGTCCAGTCAGGTGCTTGGCCGAGGAAGGCATTGGAGGACTCGGCGAAGCATATTCCATCGTCCACGTGGTGGCAAGGGCTGTGTGCCTCTGAACCCCTGGCACCAATTGCTTTTCGCCTTCTCCAAGTCCCGCCCTCCTCCACTGCGTGCGAACGAAACTGGTCGAAGTTCAGCGGTGTCCACACCAAAAGTAGGAACCGACTCAAAGGACACAGAGTGCAGAAATTGGTGTTTGTTCGCTCCAATCTCGAGCTCAGGAGCCCTGATCTGAAATACCACGACGGAGATGACTCAAGCGTGGAGTCAGAGTAACCCTAACTAACAAACTGCTTTGGAACATCCGTCTTAATTTACAAAAGATATCTAGTCAACGCGTGCATATCTACCTCATCCAATGTTGGTTTTGAAGTTTGATCCTGTACTCTTTAATGCAGAACTCGTTGTACCCTTAGAAGGGAAAAGGGTCATGACAAAATACATCAATGTTGTTAAACTTCACTCCCCTTTGAATATGATTATTTAACGTGGCATTAAAACATGGCACTACCTTCATGATAGTACATAAAGCAATTAATTTCTTCAATGGTTGACATATGCGACTATATTTCGCCACTCTGCTGTTATGTTATTTAAAGCTATGTTCATGCTGGTGCGGTAGTGGAGATCCGGCTGTAAATTAAGAGTCTCGTATATTAATTTATTGACCGAGAAAAACGCCATAGAGGACTTAGAAACACGGCTTCATCACATGCGTACACACTACCAACAAGCCTCGGACAGCACTGTCATTTCTCCTCCGTATAAGGCGTTCACACTGAACAGTAAAGCAACGGTCATTCGGGATGGTTGCTGCATAGTTTTTAGACAACGCAAACGGTGCAACGACGGGGCGAGGCGGCAGACAACCCGAGGTGATTGTGTTTCCTCACTTGCCCCGCCGTCGCGCTGTTTTGTTTTCTTAGGGGCTGAAAGATGTATTATGTTTAGTATAGCGTGATTAAGTTTCCGCCTGCTCTGCCGGCAAAACTCAATTCAGAGGAGCGTGATGGCCATTTTCCCTTTCGATGAGGTCAGCGATATCAATTATAACGTTCGTTGCAGAAATTTGCTTAATAGATTTGTTAATACTTCAAAAACTTGGGTTTCGGTTTTTTTCCCGAATACTATGTCGGGGAAAAAACCAGAAAAAACAGTTTTGTTTCCAAAATTTCCGGTTTTTTTCCGAGCCCTCGCATCACTACCTGGGGCACACCTGAGGTTATGTTTATGGGTAATGATCAGTGGCGTACCAACTTGTTTTTGAGTGGGACCCCCCCCCCCCCCCCCCCCCCCCCCCCCCCCAGGGCCAGGGGGTGGTGCCCTTGGTATCCCTTGGGCGCTGCCTTCCAGTGTCTGCCCTGCCCAGTGTCGGCTGTTTCAGGGGGGGGGGGGGGGCGGGGCAAAACATATGCCTTGCCCTCCCCACACTGAGAACTGGGGGGGGGGGAGGGGGGGGCAAGCGCTTCCCTTCCTCCTTCACGGTTGGTACGCCCATGATGATCATATGCTGCGAGTTAAAGCAACATACTGCTTCGCCATGATGGAACTTAACCCGAGACGGGGGTAGAAACAGAAACTTAAAAGTAGAAGGGACAGAGACAAGCGAAGAAGAGAACGTCTCAAACGCAGCTCTTCGACCGTTTAGGTAATTCTGTATTCAGTTTACTACATTAAGACATATTTAGAGGTGCTAGTTTAACCTCTAAAAGTTTTTTGTGGTACAGTGTCAAATGCTTTACGAAAATCTAGGAATATTGCGTCTACTTGTTTATTTGTGTCTAGACCTTTCGATATGCAGTGGTAGAATTCTGTTAGCTGTGCATTACATGAGTGCCCCCTTCGAAGGGCATCTTGGGATGATCTGACAGATTATTTTACTCAATAATACAAGAGGATAAGGCGGGTAACAACAACAACAACGACGACGATGATGACAATGACGACGACGTAACAGTTCTTCTGTGCTGTATCTAACTTTAGAAGGCTTGTGGTCTTTGGCAGGACCCAAGGTTGGGAGTGATGGAAACATTTAGATTTCTTCAGGTTTTTAGGCTTGACTTTTTCTACAAGTGATTTTACGAGAAGCATTGAAACAATATTTTATTCACATGATTATTTTATAAAAATATGAACAAAGCACGGCACTCTATTTGAAGCCCAAATCACTTAAAAAAGGCACTCTTATCACAAGGTTAAAAAAAGAGTCTACTTATTAAAAATCAGCAACAGCCGCAACCTACTTGTTTATTAAAATTGTTTTTTTTACTAATTATTCAATACATGCAATGAGCTTTATTGACTCGCTGAAACTCGTCCCCCCTGCACCCCTCCCCCCGCCCCCCACAAGAAAAAAAAAATTGCGTGAATTAGATTTTGTTATAATCTTTCTAAGACATTTTAAATTTGCTGAAAGGGGAAGAGCTCACTGCAAAAAAAAGAGTTTATTTTCTTGAGTGAGCTTAGCTTTTTATCTAAGTAATCGTTCGTGTAATTCGAGGTTCCTAAAAAAACTCAAATTTCTTTATTTTCAAAGCTGCTTTTCATAGTAATTTTATCATTAATTGAGCCCGGTTTTTACGCCGACCTCTGCAGTAAGCATGTGACAAAGGCACAAAACACAAAACTAGTATCTTAATAAAAAGATAATGAACCTTAATTCGTATGGCGCACGTTCGGCGATGACTGCTCGAATAAGGAAAGTTAGATATTGATTGCAATAAAATGAGCCTCAAGGTTACCCTTTACGTGCATTCGTAAAACTAAAGCACCACCTGAACACGCACCGTGAAGAAAACCAAACCTGCGATTCAACTGTCGTCCCATCACGAAGCAAGCACAAAATACTCTGCCTTAATATCTCTTCGAAGAATCGCGGCGAAAGATAATTTCAATTTTGCTTCCATATTTATGCAAGGCGATATGGTTTGTTTTTATTTTAATCATCAAGCGAGCGTAAACGTTTTTTTCTTCCACAGTTTCCGATTTTTTTTAAGCGAACTAAGTTACTATATGGGGAGCTGCAGAACGATTGAATTTTCTCACTGTGTTCTTGTACAAGATATATGCATCTAGATAAATATTACGCTTTTTATATTGTTTATACTATCAACTCGTGCCATGAATTAAGTTGAGGATATAATGCAGATGCTAGTTGAGGGTAGCATGCAACACTCTTTGTTAGGGCTGATGCACCATCTATAAGGTGTTAAGAAAATTTTCCTTGTTCAAGATAATTAATGCTCTTTGTCCTCTCGAAGAACACGGTTTTCTGCGTGAATAAAAACGAGATGATATTCGCAGACGGTAGCTCGAAGACAAAGTCTTTCTTTAATTGCTGAAGCCGAGTTTGCTTTAGTTGAGCGACCATGAAGATTGTTCTACTGTGCAGTTTGGTGCTTGCCTCCGTGCTTGTGGTGGAAGCCGGAGATTTTTGCGGTAAGTACAACGTTTGTTTATTTTCCGATGTGCAGAGCCCGACTTAGTTGGAAACAAACCATATATGCCCCGTTTCTAAGTTTCTCTAGTTTTTCTTTGATAAAAAATCAAAACAAAAAATACAAACGTTGCAATCAGAATGATTCGTGTCACAAAATAGGTTCGCCCTAGGAACCCCATAAGGCGATAAAGTATGTTTTCCTTAAATTTAGTTTGCGAAAACAAGCGCAGTTGACGTGTTCGCGCTATCCGTGCCCGTTTTGTACTATCATACAATACCGAGAAAAAAAAAACAGCAAAACGAACAGTTAGTGTACAAAAAAAAATACAATAAAAAATTTATAATTTTACAAGTGAAATAATAATTATGACGTTAAACGCGAATTTTGTAATCCATACTATAATGAGGTAACACTGTTATGCCACCAATGCTTAAGACGTAAAAAAAAAAATCAATCAAAACAATAATATAGTACTTGGTTTATGCTAAAGTCATTTCTCATATTTCTTTTTTGAATTCTGAAGGACAGAAAAGCAAGCCCAAAGAGTAATTCTAAAATGTATGCTTGTTAGCATAAAAGGTATACGTGTTCCGTACACTTGGACAAAACAATTTGGGAAAAAATATTTAAACGGTAGATCACAAAATCTCAGACATTTTTTTTCACAGCCCTGAACGCCGAGAAGAGATCATCTACACTTCATTGCTTGGGTGAGAAGTTAGCTCCTGAGGTAAGCTGAGAACGTTTACTGAAAGTTGTACATGATGGGGAAAACAGCTCAGAAAACACGGACTACGAAGAGGAACAAACACGACAAAACACGTCGTGTTTGTTCCTCTTCGTAGTCCGTGTTTTCTGAGCTGTTTTCCCCATCATGTATAACGTCAACCAACTGGCCCAGTTCTCCCCGTTATTACTGAAAGTTGACTTGTAAAGAGGTAAGGGTTGCAAGATAACGCCATGTAACTTACCTTACATTTTTTTTGGACACCGTGAGTTATCTGCTTTGATCTTATGAACATTGATGCATTTGTCATAATCGCTTCGATTTGTTGCAGACTAAATGTCTTAAAGGGCTAGTGTGTAAATGTTAACGTAGTCGATTTTGTAGAAATGAAAAATACATCTTGATAAATTTAGCAGTTGATGTTGTACCTTTTTCTGCGTGCTTTATTAGAACTCACTGACCAGTAATTTATCGCAAGAATAATGTATCAAAATAATTTATGCGTGGCGTTTGAAGGACGACAAAATGTTAGGTGTTTTGTTGTGCACACAGAATGTGGGGTTGAGCTATATTTAACATTCTTTTTTTGTTTTGGTTTCACCAAAATTTCAGGTGAAGGGCATTTTGCTCGCTCTCAACCAGGAAGGATCGGCGATTGCGGAGTTTGTCCAGAAACACTGTGATGAGGGCACTGACTATGTAAGCGCGGTCTACTAAAAAGAATTTAAGAAACTTAAACACATTTAAGTGAAATATAGTTAAACGTGAGCGCGTTGGTTTAGATGACTTATTACAGAAAGAATAAACAGAAAGGACAGAAAGGACGGACATGTCCGTCCTTTCTGTTTATTCTTTCTGTAATAAGTCATTTAAGTGAAAATTCATTTCTTCGTGAAGGTTAAGATTACAAATAATCATTTGTACAAAATGCTAATCATTGCAGAGTGATTAAGAAATGTGTATACTTACACAACGTGGGTGGCCACATTTTTTGAGTAACGACCATATTAATTTTGTTTATTTCATTGCATATCATATAACTAGGGTTCCGTGTTTTCGAAGTTTATTTTTCGTCAAATTCGGAGGGTGGTTTTCGGAGTTTATTTTTTTGCCGAAGGTTCGGAGTTTATCGGAGTTTATATTTGTTCAATTCTCAATTCTCCGAAATTCGGATTTTAATTCTGCAGTGTTTCCTATGAAAAATAAGTATATAAATAATAACCGGATATAAACGTATGCCAAATACAAAAATAAAACGCGCTTGTATCAATTAGAGTTCCTCCAGTTGATTTTGACATTATTGCCGTTTTCATTGCAATATCAACTTGTCCAGAGACAAAAGTCGCACACAGCGTTGCTTCGATAAACGTCGATACCTTAAATAAATAAACTCCCGGAGGTAGTCGCTAGGAAGCTCGTAGTCATCCCATCCTATTCCATCAATCTAGCCTGCGGCCGCGCGTGGGGAAGTGGTTAAGGATGTAATAGAGAAGTTTCAACTGCCCCTCTTTCCTTTTTTATACAATCTCTATGATCCATAGCTTTCACTATTACCCGCAGAAACATACCCTCTCCGTTCTCTAAATTGCAAATCCCATGGCCCAAACTGGAAACCAAAAGAGTGGCTTTTGTCGTAACACGAATGGTACGATGACCTGTTTCCCTGAACCAACCTTGACGAGACAAGCCGTAAGACCCCCTTTTGCCAACGGTCCGAGATTTGAAAGATACTTATGGTTGCATTTTTTCAGGACCATTCCCCCACGCTGCTCACATTGTAAAAAAAAAGTTTTTTAAGTTTTTTTTTTGCGGGGGGGGGGGGGGGGGGGGTATTAGCACATAAAAATTCGGAGTTTATCAGATAAATCCGAATTGACAAAAATTTTACCGGCGGGTGTTTTTCGGAGTTTTTTTGGATTTATTCGAAAACACGGAACCCATCATATAAGGTATAGTGAGGTATCCGCAAAGAACACACGGTTCTACCTGAATATTTGTGTGTGGTAATGTATGTTGCAATAAAATTAAAACAACAAAAGTTATGAACACGAAGCAGTAACAAGATAGCTGCTAAATTTGTAGAATTTTGTTTTTTTATATTTGTGTGCATAAGGCAGATTTGCGGAAGCTGATGTGTAAAACGCTTTGTATGAAAAAAACGTTTTTCCCCAATTTGGGGTTTCTTTATGCAGGTCGAAGTACTAAAGAAAACCCTGAGTGTAAGTTGCGTCCTTATTATTATACAAGTTTAGCAAATTAATTTTTTTAGTTGTGTTGACATCTGTCATTCCAACATATTTTGCGAATATGAAGGTGGAATACCCGTGTACAATTAGGTTATTAGGTGTAGAAAGCATTTGTAATTTTATAAATTGCTTGCATCCACTGATTTGAATGTGTGTGTTACCTTTGCAATAACAGCGAGCGAAAGTTCAGTTAAGCAGTGTTTTAGCATCGTTGAATGACCAAAAAGAAGTTTCTTGTTTTGATTCATTGCTTGAAACAAACAAAAAGTATAATTCAAGATAGTTTCGCGATAATTGACAAAAACCTAACTGTCTTGTGTTTTACGTTACAACAGCGGCGTTGAAGTTTTTAATTGCTCTGCTTTTTATCTGTTACATAGTTTTGAACAGAGCACTTATAATATAGCTGAGATGTCATGTCAAAAGCATGTTTGAAATTCCTTCAAGTACCGCTTTGGCGTTAGAGCCCCAGAAGTACATGTAAATGTTCTTTGTCTGACCCTGTTGTTTCTCCCAGCGTTTATGCACGAGATAAGCTAGCCAGAAAATGACTCGCAGTTTCATGTTCGACAACCTTAACTATTTAGTTGAATGCATTAAGCATTGAGCCGAACGCTTCGCAGCATAATAAGTGTCAGGGCCGCATGTCCAGCTTTATTTAATTACATGAGACTGCCGTTAAATATACTTCAAAAGGTGAAGCAAAAAAAAAAATCAAATAAAACATGGGTTTATACTCAGCTAGTCTGATATCATCATGACCTCGAGGTGTTTCAGTTTGAAAGTGATCCGCTGCTGTGATGTTCTGCTGATTCTGTATCCAGTTAGATGCTATGCCTTATTGCATTCAGCAGTCAGATAATGTAGCGCGGTAAGCTTTAGTGAACATTCACCACGCCTATAGCTGTGCTAATGTGGCTGTTCCCTTCTTTTTGTAGGCACAAGAACTTGCATCTTTGAAGAAGGCTTACGAAGAGTGCACTGCCTAGATGAAGCGTTAACGACTACTGGCAGAATCTAATTACATGTGAGCTAAAACATTATTAGAATTTATTCCGGTTAAAGTTTGAAATTTCTAATAAGCCTCTCGATTGTATGTACGGGACTCTTGTGCTTGTGCTTATCGTTTGGGGCTCTCCAAGTTCACTCGAAGGTAATAAAACGCTTCAGAGTGTGAAGCAAATCTGTGCAAGGGTTTTTCCAGGATTCTCACTGCCAAAAAAGGGAGGTTCGTAATTCCTTTCATAACAAACTATACCTTAACCATTTAAATTTTTATTGCTTTTGTTTATAACTTTTCCTTCTCATTTTAAGCGGGATTCCCCATTTCTCAATGTGTGCAATAAAAGAAAAATATCTGGATTTCCTTGCATTTTGCTGCTTTCAAAACTGCACTTTCTCTTAAGTCGTCAAAGTTGCCTTGAATTATTTCTGGAAATTAGTTTGGATGAGTCACCAATGACAATATATTTAACATTTTAACAAGTATCTGGTGACCAGATATAAGTTACGACAGCGGATGAAGAAGAAGACGCCAAGAGCGCTCAGGCACTTCTGCTCGGGTGATCAGCAGGGCACCCATGTCGTACTTCGACACTCCATAGAACCAACGTGTAAATAATGTAAATAAATAGTTAGCATATAAAGGAACGCACGACTCGTGACAAGTATAAAGGCTTGGTAAAGTCTATTAATGGATCGATTCAAACTGTGCTAGTCTTCCAAAATTTACCGGAACGTTGCAGTTAGATGAAAAATTTGTTCGTAAAAATAAGAAAAAAAAAAAACACGCCTTTCTAAATTGGGCCCAAGCCGGCAGTATAGAGTTCCAATTTTGTAGTATAAATAAATACTAGCTTCTATGTCACATTTGTGACATTTGATTGAATGGAAATAAGTTAGAGACGGTAGATAAGGATTCCGACATTAGGCTCTTTTCCAGTTACCGTTTGTTTTACGTCTGGTGGCTATCTTTAAAGGCAGCACTTAGTTTTAACCTTTAATTTAAAAATAAAAATTTAAATTCAAACATTTCTGCTGTTAAAATGTTGGTATATCTCAGGAGTAGCCAAGCTGACCCGGCCTAAGAGCCGCAAACAAAACCACGAAACTTTCAAGAGCCGCGGGGGGGGGGGGGGGGGGGGAACTTTTGTTTGAGCAGTATACGAAACTCAAACTACGTTTAATATAATCGAGTTAAAAGCAGTCTAACTGTATGAAAGGTGGCAGTAGCACCAAGACTACCAAACCACAACCTATCTTTCAATTTAAAACGCGTTTCAATAATCTTTTTATGGGGAAGTGCTCGTGTGACCGGGAGGGAAGCGGAGGAGTGTGTGTATTGGTGGGGGAGGGGGTTAGGGTAGAGAGCCGCGAGCCGCACTATAACACGCGAAGAGCCGCAGCTTGGCCAGCCCTGGTATATCTCATTGCCCGTTTTGTTGTCTTGCATTAAAGTTTTATTTAACTTTCTATCCAGAACGAACCACTTGTCAGATTTATTTTCATCGTGGTCAAGAATAGTAAATTGTGCTGAACATGTACAGCTCTCGAGAAAAAGCTTTTTTGTGCCACTGATATACTTAAAGCGATAAATGCTATGTGACGTGCTGGAGAAGAAAGTTCATGTTTAAAACAAACAAAGAAACGAACAAACGAAGCCCATAGAATCCAAGAAGTTTTTGATATGAAATGCGAATCATATTACGTTAAATAATGAAAATGCGAATTTGCTGTAACATGTGTTTGACTAACGTAGAAGTTTAGGCTAGTTGGTATTTCATGATTAAAAATTAAAACAGCGCAAGGACACGGACAAGAACAAGAAGGTAAACGAACAGAGCGCTGACTTACAACTAAAGTTTATTCGTGCTAACATCAAGTATAAATACTGTAACGCCATGACACACAAATAAAGATGAAATACATGTAATGGACGCCACTTGCTCCTTAGCCACCGTTACGCGCTGTCACTGTGTGTCTAGAAAGCACCATTCCTTTTAGATAAACATATTGAAGGAGTGCTGACACAGTTTTCCCCCAATTTTCCAATTTCCCGCGCCTCAATGATTTCTCGAGTGAGTTTGTCTTTATTTTTCCGAATCACTTCACACTTACCGAAGACGGGAGGACAGCAGCAGTCACGATTCAGGCCAAGGTGACCTGACACAACTCTAAAGATATTATACAGTCAAACCCGTTTATAACGAACAGAAGGAAACGCTACGATCAGTTCGATATAGCAAGTAGTGCGATATAGCAAAAACCATTTACAACGAACTTCCACGATGCGTTCGTTGTAATCCAAGAGCTTCTCTTTCTCATGTCGCTTCCACCTTATAACAAAGCGCTAGAAATATTTTTTTTTGCTATTTTGCATATGAGTGCAGAGTTTTTTTTTAGCTTCCTCCCCCTCTGAATCACTCCTCTTCATAGGCAACCGCTTTCTAATAAAGTTTTTTTTTTCTTTTGTGGGAGCGTGCAGTGTTTTTTTTTTTAGCTTTGTCATTTTCTTAATCGCTTCTCTTTGTCAATTTTGTTTGCGGCTTGAACTTTTGAAATTTCCTTTCTTTCCTAAATTTTTGTTTTGTGGCAGCGGGAGAGGCTAGAAGACGATTATTTGCACGTTCTTGGAAGCCTTCCCGGTGGGAAAAAGTTCGATATAGCCAATATGTTGTTCGTTATAAAAATTACTTTTTACATGCATTTTTATTTAAATTTTTCGTGAATTCGATATCGACAATAATTGGCCGTACGTGGGTTTGTTCTAAACGGGTTTCACTGTACTTATGTTCTCGCAAGCGATCATTGAGGCAGCGCCCCGTTTGCCGGAGATACGCCGGGCAAACAGGGCGCTGCTTAAATGATCGCTTGCGAGAACTTAAGTATAATGTCTTTAGAGTTGTGTGAGCTAGGTCACCTTGGCCTGCATCGCCGTGACTGCTGCTGCACTCCCGTCTTCAATAAGTGTGAAGTGATTAGGAAAAATAAAGATAAACTCACTCGAGAAATCATTGAGGTGCGGGAAATTGGAAAATCGGGGGAAAACTGTGGTCAGCACTCCTTCAATATGTTTATTTGAAAAGGAATGTTGCTGTCTAGACACACAGTGACAGCGCGTAACGGTGGCTAAGGAGCACGTGGCGTCCATTACATGTTTTTTTATTTTTATTTGTGTGTCATGACGTTACAGTATTTATACTTGATGTTAACACGAATAAGCTTCATTTGTAAGTCAGCGCCTTGTTCGTCTACATTCTTGTTCTTGGCCGTGTCCTTGAGCTGTTTTAATTTTTAATCGCGACATGTGTGTTTAATAGTCAGGCACTCAATTGGCTAAATCCCTCTCTTTCAAGGGCTTTACCAGGCACGTTGCAAAAGCATAATATAACACAAATAATCAGCTATGAACATACATAACAAACCCAACTGACTTGGGAAGTTGTGTTTCGCGATGATCGATTATATACGAGCACGTAAATCCATGCGCGACAACTATAAAAGAAAGTTCCAGAATGCAGATGATGTCTTTTGATCAGGACGGCAAAAGGTTCCTCAAGGGCATTTCTCAGGTCTGTTAATGATCTGAACCCGTGGCAAGATGGAAACACAAAACGTTAGTTGACCGTCCTCTCATCGCTTTCGCAACATTAGAGTGCACCTGTAAAAATAAGCACAACTTATACTTCGTCAACATTTGTTGCAGGAACCGCGTCAAATGTTTAGCTAAAGCTGACTTCCGTTTTTCTCCGAGTCGACCTGCATTTGTTTCTCAAGTGGGTAATAATGGTAAAACCTTATTTCCTGAGTCCCCTATGCCACTTTGGGAGAAAATCACCAAGCGGGTATTTAATCGCAGAAAAATGCATTTCCAAGCTCCCTCAGCGGTAAGAGAAACACATATGGACAACTATTACATGAATTGTAGGTAAGACTGTATTTTTATCGATTAACTCGTTCCATGATTGAACTGGAAGACTGAGAAAATGGCTTTAGTCACTTTCTGCCGTTGTCTGTGTCGCTGGAAGAGAAGAGGGTTGAGGAAACTCTGATGTTAATGACTTGATGCTTTTCCTTGCCTCTGAGGATGCAGTGTATTGTGGGTATATAAACCAAAATGGAAGTCACATTTCGCAGTTCAGAACGTGAGGCCACAGTCCCAGTTTAGCAGCCTAAGCTGAGTTGCAGATTAATCATGAAGATTTTTCTACTATGGAGTTATGTGCTTGCCGCCGGGTTCGTTGTGCAAGCAGAAGAACTTTGCAGTAAGTAAAAGAAAATACCTTGCTTTCGATTCCGATGCGTGTGTCCCGGAGCACTGCCGTATGCGTGGCGACTTCGCAATGCGTGCGACTCTAACGCGGTCGGTCCCACGGAACCGGAAGACTGTGTGTGCGTGGCGACTTAGATATGTGCGCGACTCTAACGCGGAGGACCGGGTTTCGAACTCCGCCGGTCTAGTTTACATTTTAGCTTGAGCTGCTGTCCTCTAAACTTTTCTAGATCCAGTTATCGGGTGTTCTAGTTTATAACCTTCCTGAACATTCACCGCTAATAAAAAAAGCCATAATGCGCTGCTTTCGAAAGTCGCCCTCCTGTGCCGGCTCAAGGCGCGTCGTACCTTTCTATAGTGCTGTGAAGACGTAAATTCGCCTTAATTAATGTGTATTTTTAGTTTTAAATTTGTTTAATAGTTTTTATTCGTGACAGCATTAGTAGAAAAATAAACGTGCGCAAATCACGTGCACCAATCATGTGACCTTTACAAAGTGAAGGAAAAGAGAGTTCAGTTATATGCGTGTGCGATAATAGATATGAGACAGCGATAATCGCGTTTCTAATATTCGTATTACCGTGACAAAAAGCCGTAGCAACAAGAGTACTTCTGTAGGACATCTTTCAGTAAAAATATTTCTTTTATTTTTGATTATTATTGTATTATTTTGTATATAATTTTCTTGATGAACAGACAAAAGAGTGGTAAAAGCGG